CTTCTGAAACCTCTAAGCCCACCCCCAGCGGCATGCTTTCCCCGATAAGGCCACCCTACTCCAACAAGGTCAGACCGCCTCCAACAAAGCCACAACTCCTAGTCCTTCTCAAGCAGTACCACTCCCTGATGACTAATCATTCAAATGTGTGAGCCTGTGGGGGCCACTCTTGTCCAGGCCTCCACAGCGTGCTAACTTTCGCCACTGTGAGTTAGAATTGTGAGGGGTTTTGCTGTTAATTATTTTCTACTTTCTCCTGTGATTATGATTACCCTCAATTATGTACATGTAGAAGTATGTAGCTTTATTTTCACATATTCACGAATCCCCATATCACGTGGCAGAGACTACTCAGCTGTGATAGACAGGATACAGAGAGAGTGACAGAAAGTGAGACCCAAGGCAAGATCTAACTTCCAAGGACACTCTCCTAGGTGACCAAGTTCCTGCAGCTAAGGTTTCTAGCTTCTCCCACATGGTCCTACCTACTGAGGACCCAGAGTTCTGCACACAGTCCATGGAGCCATTCCTGTCCAAACCACGGCAAGAGTATTGGATGCCATAACAGTTTCTTCCCTCCTCCTGGCTCCTTCTTTGCCGGGATAAGAGAAAAAGGAAATGCTAAAGAAACCTGATTTCCTCCGTGTTTCCTTCCAGTTTCCAAAGGCCCAAGGTGTGCTTAGCTTGTAGTTTCTTTTGCTGGATGAACTATACCAAGGAGGTGCATCTCTCACCACAGGCAAAGCTAACCGGGTGTTTTGTCCCTTCCTGTCCCCTGCGCCTCAGAAACACCTCACTCCGCATCTGGTCATGCTTCACTGTTCGCTCACTGTATTTGTTCCATGGCCATCACGCTGATGACAGACCAAGGCAGTGCTGGCTTGTAGGATTAAAGTGTCTACCTGCTATACCAAATCCTTGCCTGCCCTCCTTGCGGGATTTGTGTCAGTGCTGCCTTTACCCCTGTCAGCCAGAGGTCAGTAGCCATACCCTCTTCCTTCCCTTTGGCATCCATGGTGAATCATTAAGCTCTAACCAGAAGGAAGCCAGAACAAGTGTGAGTAAGTTAGGAGAGGATGACCTTGCTCAGACTGCACTTGGAGTATGTCATGCCATTCAAGCCTGCCCCGTCCACACCTGCTCTGAAGAGAAGGAACACACTTGTAAAGTCTAAGCCACATTCTATGGCAAAATCTCCAGTCATAGTGTAAACATAGACATCTCTTCACAAACTGTATATTAGCTATCGTTCTTGTCGATGTGAGCAAATACCCGACAAGGAGAAACTTGAAGGAAGAGACGTTTACTTGGTTCCCACAGCGTGGTGGAGAAAGTGGAAGCCAAGGCCACTTCCTTGGGCTAGGCCCCACCTCCCCAAACAGCTCCACCAATCGGGGACCACCGCAAATACATGAGCCTATAGGAGACATTTTACACCCATACTGGAATATCTTCCTTCTAGTAAGTTTAGCATCTAACGCATGCTCTTTCCCTTAGACCCAGCCGAAGTATAAACTCAGCAGTTATCTATGGCCATTAAGCACTGTTCCCCTTGAGGACCCCAAAGGCTGCTGGTTTTGAGACGCCCCCAGGTAGTGCTTTTTCTCAGCCTCAGATACCTGTGGGGGCAGTTGGCCACGCCCAGCATAAGCACAATTGCTTGTCCTAACAGGCCAACCGATCACTTAGCTAACATCCTTAGACCTGGGCCCTGGATCTCATGCCATAAACCCCTACCCAGGAGATGCTGGAAATCCGCAGTTCCAAACAGGAGCTTTAAAGTTCAGCTTCCTTCCTCCTCACTTTCTGCAGATGCTTCTGGGAATTGATGACAAATTAACATTGTCATCTAATACAGACATATTTATTTCTCTTCCAGAGCTTCTGACAATTTCTTTATGTCTCAAGCCCGTAAGTTCTGAAACATTCTATAAAATTCTTTCAGCAGCAACAACAAAAATATAAGGAATGGGGGGGGGGGACAAAATAAGTCTTCTCAGTCCTGACCATAGCAGAGACTTTTGAGGCTGCTGTCCTTTGTACATACCAGCTAACAGAGACTTAGACGTTGTCTCAGACCTGCCGACTTTGATTGAGTCCAGTGTTCCAAGGTGTTTTGTGTGCAACACACAGAAATTCTTAACTAGCTCATGGTGTAGCATGTATGACTCCTCTTTAATGATGCGCTCCAAGAAACCACATGCCATGGCCCCTAGCTCATTGCCTATCTCATGCTTAGTCAAGTCTCGGGCAGGTGGTTGACATCATCGGTTTGTTTAGCATTGAGAGGTTTTCTAGGACACGGGACAATCGTTCCTAAATATAGGCCAGTCAGAAGAGTGGGTCACGTGAAGTCTTAGACAAACATCCTTTACAAGCTCCCCCCCCCCACTCTATTATAAATGCCAAGAGGACACAGAGTATATCTAGTACACCTAGTAAGTATTCAATTAAAAAAACATTTATATGTTTTCATCTATCTTCATCCAAGATCTTATTGATGAGGTACCACACTTTCAAAATTATCAGCCCATGACTGCCAACCACAAGAATAATCACAGATTTTCTACTTGGACTTATGAGCGGGTTCCCTGCCCCTTGCCAGAGGCCACCGGACTCCGTGGTGCTCTGTGCTGCATGGTTTGATGGCACTAGTTAAGATGGCAGGAGCGTTCCCTCTTCCCTCCCAGCCTCCAGCAGGAGTTAGATGCCTTCCTGTATCTCTCCCCCTCGCCTCACACAAAGCACTGATGGCCCCTTTCCCGTCGTCTTCCCAATAATGCTAGAACTATAGAACGAGCAAGGGTTTGTTATTCCCTGTCTTGTGTAACTGGGAAACTGTTAAATTTGTGCCAGATGCGATTAATTGTCTCTGCCAGCAAGAGAACATACCTTACCGATGACTATAACCATTCTGACTCCATATTTCTTGGAGATTTGTGGTTTTCCTTGGAAAGGGACCATAGAAAGTTGCCATGTTTCCATCTCTCTCATCAAAAAGAGTGTGCCCAAAAAACCGTGTGTAAATGCTTGTCTCTTCTCCCTGTCTGTGTGCTAACCTCTGCTGTCTCCATGGCACGTGAAGTTCACAGAGACACTGCCCCCAGGGTCCAGCACTTCACTCTGTCCTCTGGACTGGCTAGGTTGATCTCAAGGATCCTGTCCCCACCCACTGTCTTGTACTAAAGCTTCCCCTACACACTTCCTCTTTCTCTTCTTGCTCTCTGCAGGCTGCTGCAGCATCTTCTTAAACCTTCCCTGGGGATTTCAGGGGCATCCCTGACAGTCGCCCTTCCCATCCTAACTGCAGTCAGGGCCACCACCAGCACCAAAAATAAGACTTGATGCCCGGCAACACCATCTATACCCCTCCCTTTCAAGACGGTCGCTAAGAAATAGTGGTGGGAAAATAAAATGTTTACCTAGCATGTGCGAGGCCCTGAATTTAACCAAAGAAATTAAAAAGAAAAAGAAAGGGAGGCTGTGAAAATTACTCAGTCAGACCCAAGTTTGATTCCTAGAACAACTCACATTTGAAAAAACCAACCAACCACACACACACACACACACACACACACACACACACACACACACACACACAGCTCCATGGTGGATCCCTGGGGCTTACCAGGGGCTTACCAGATAGTCAGCTAGCCTACTTGGTGAGTTCCAGGCCAAAGAGAAACCCTGTTTAAGAAAACAGGCACATGAAAAATGATACCTGAAGTTGTCATCTACACAGGGGGGGAGGGTAGAAAGAGAGAAAAAAGAGAGAGGGAGAGAGAGAGGAAAAGAGAGGGAGAGGGGGAGAGAGAGAGAGGGATAAGAAGAGAGGAAGAGAGACAGAGAAAGAGAGAGAGGAGAGAGAGAATTATAATTCTTGGAGCCAGGCTGGAGTGAGTTCTTAGATAATCTTGTCTACACAACAAAAGCTCATCTCTGGGGGGAGGGGAAGAGAAGGTGTGGCTTAATGTTATCATGTTCAATTTCAAAAAAATATATTTAGAAAGAATTATAATTTTAGAAAGAATCATTCTTTTGTTTGTTTTTTGTTTTCTTGAGACAAAGTCTCACATATAGGCCAGGCTGGCCTTGAAGTAGTGGATCCTCCAGCCTCCATGTCCAGAGCACTGGAATTAAAGGGAAATACCCCCACACCCAGCTCTAAAAAAAAGGAAAAGTCTGACATAGAAGAGAAGGTTCATTGAGTAAAGCCACTAGCCATGCAGCCCTGATCACTCAAGTTCAATCCAAACACTCTACTCATTTATTATTTTTATTTTATTTTATTTGTACGGGTGTTTTGCCTGCATGTACAGCCAGGGCCCACTTGGGTGTCTGGTGCCCATGAAAGCTAGGAGGATTGGACCCCTGGAACTGGAATTACATGTGGTTGTAAGCCACCATGTAGATCCTGGAATTGAATCCCAGTCCTCTGGGAGAATAGCCAGAGCCTTTAACTGCTGAGCCGTCTCTCTAGGCCCCTGCTGCCATGCATCTTTAATCCCAACATTACTAAGCAATACAGGGATGGAGGCAGGAGACCTGCCCAGAAGCTTGTGGGTCAGCTAGCCTAGAGTATACATCAGAGACAGAGACAAATGTCCTGCCCTGCCACAACAAGGTGGAAGGCAAAATCAAGTCCCAAAACGTGTCCTCTGACATACACATACCATAGCCCACATGCATGCCTGCGCGTGCGCGTGCGCACGCGCGCGCACACACACACACACACACACATTACATACACATAACATATACAAGAGTACCATTTATCAAGCTCCACGCTTAGTATTTAATATTCTATCTGTAGTGAACCTACTTCAAGTTTAAGAACATTTCCTAGTTTGTGTTTTTCCTGAAACCTTTTTGTGTGTTCTCTAGAGCATATCCTAAACCAGGCTATTAGAAGCTCCTCTCTTCTAAGGACCAAAGTGAATCTTCCGTTGGGGTTGTCCTCAAAACAAGCCAAAGACTGAAGATGTGTGTTCTTGTTGCAGAGAAGAGACTGGCTGCTGTTGGCCAGAGGGGAACCCCAGGTCCCCAGACACCACCAGAATGTCGCCGCCAGCAGCTTCTATGTGATCACGCCATCTCAGTCTCTCACACTGCTGGTGAAGTTGGTGGCCACGAGGGAACTCATGCTCCCGGGGTTCTTCCCCCTACTATCTGAGGGCCCGCCTGAAGACAGCCTGAAGATCATGGAGGCAAGTAAAGCCTGTGGCTCAGTGTCCTGTTGCTGTGCAGAGACACCATGAACAAGGCAACTCTTAGGAAAGAAAGCGTTTGACTGGGGGCTTGCTTACAGTTTGAGGCTTAGTCCGGTGTCAATATGGCAGAGAGCATGGCATGGTGGCGCACATGGCATGGAGCAGTGGCTAAGAGCTACATCCTAACCCTCCAGCAGAGAGACACTGGGCCTGGTGTGGGCTTCTGAAACCTCAAAGTCCACTCCCAGTGGCAAACCTCCTCCAACAAGGCCACGCCCCCTAACCTTTCCAAAGTATTCACCAACGGGGCCTAAGCATGCAAATATATGAGCCTAGGGCAGTCGATCTCATTTATACCACCATGCCATGGGACAAAGAGAATGGAGCTTGAGAAGGGGGGGAGAGAAATAGGGTCATGAGGGAACAGGCAGGGAGCAGACGGGGCTTGTTACGGCCATCAGAAATAAAAGCAAAGACGGAAAACGAAGTGGGAGGAAGTCACGGGCCTGATTAGGGCAGCAAGGTGAAAATTCACTGAGAAGCGAGCCTGAGCTGAGGGATATAAGGTTTGTGAAGGGAGGGTTGAGGGGGAAATGGGCCTTGGCATAGGCAAACAACTGGGAATTGGGGCCATCCACCTTAGAGCGGATCCCACCGACATGGGCACATGTGTAAACATATGCAGGTACAAACCTGATTCACATGAGTGGCATGCAGGTGCTGTGAAGGAAAAGTGTCCCAGAAGGAAAGGCTGGCAGCAGGCAGGACAGGGGTCCAGACAGGAAGTCCAGGACAGGGGTCCAGACAGGAAGTCCAGGACAGGGGTCCAGACAGGAAGTCCAGGTCCAGGTGCTGGATTTGACTTGTTTAGCCTGGAGCGCCCTTGGCATAAGCCAGCCATCGTGGCCCTCCTCCCCTCTCCTCCCCTCTCCTCCCCTCTCCTCCCCTGCCCTGGAGAGGAGACCATGAGGCTTCTCAGAGCAGAGGAAGGGATCAAAGGGCACAGTGGGAGCCACAGGAACAAAGTGATGGCTAGATGGAGATGCCCAATGGGACGATGTGGGTGGATTTTCATGCCAAGGGTTCCCTGTGGTGTTCCGGGACGCGTGTGCCAAGCCTGTAGACAGATGACAACGTGCCTGTGGCCGCACCTGCGCATCTGTGTGACACTATCTCCCTGTAATGTGTGTGTGCCTGCTTGTGCTCTGGGCTCTGCGGGGGGGGGGGGGGGGGGAAAAAGTCTGAAACTCAGATGCAAAGAAGCCGCTGGGCCAGGAGGCAGGGTTCTTCAGCATCCCTCCCTCCTCCTCTCCAGCTCCCCCTCTCTGCTCTCCCTCCCCTCCTCCTGTGTGTACATTCTGTCTGTCCTCCCCTGGCCCCCAGGATGGGCTGGGACGGGGGGGGCGGGGGGGGGGACTACATTCCCTGCTGGCTGGCGGCTGAGGAGCAGAAAGGACAGAACTGGGGATTGTGTGGTCTGCCTGGCAGCCATGGCGATGCTTAGAGGTGGGCAGGGTTGCCACGGGTCCCTCGGCGGGTCTCACTCCAGGGCCAGCGGTTCCTGGCACAGGATGTTGCGGCCGGAAAACCCAACTACTCAGGAATGCTGGGCTCCAATGCCCTCCTTCCCTGCCCCTCACCTCAGGCTGAGGACTCCCTGTTCTTGTATTGAGGACGGGAGTGTCCCTACCCTACACGTAACCGAAGATGCAGCCTCCCTCGCCTCGACACTGGATCCCTTTGTACCTCTCCGGGAGTTCCGGTTTCTCTCAGAACCCAGGGACACTGCCAGGGGCTGGGGTTAGGGGCTTCAGGGTCTGTAACCACCCGGCGGGCTGCGTTCCATCTCCTTCTATTCCTTCGCCTGACACAGCACACCCTCCTAGGGCAGAGCACCAGGACTCATCCACCTCAGCCTCCCCCAGCCTCTCACATACTCAGGTCTCTACAGGACATCTGGTGCTCTGTGACCTGGAAATAAAGTGCCCCCTCCTCTCCTCAGAGCGCACTAGACAGCCTGGAGCTGGGGCCCACCTACAACCCCCTGCACGTTGGGAGCCACCTCTACTCACATCTGAGTAGCACCCATGCCAAGCCTCAGGGACGCCTGTACAGCAGCTGGGAGAGCCGGGGCCTTAGAAAGGTACCTGTCCCTTGTCTCCCCCACACCCCTCCCTCAGTTAGCCTCCCCCACCCTGAGTCCAAGGGAGCCTTCCATCTCCACCCTGCAACAGCACACAACAAAGAGAGTGGCCCCCTCTCCATGGGTGGAAAGGAAAACCAGGCTGAGGAAGGAGAAAGAGCAGCTGAGGTGGGCTCATAGGAAGGGAGGTCATCCCGAGACTGGGCTCATGAGGTAGCAGTAATAGCCCAGACCGACCTTGAACTTGCGGTCTACCTGCCTCAGATACCTGGGGGGAGGGGGGAGATATGGCTCATGCCATCACACCTGTGGCTTAGCTATTCTAACTGTGGTGTTTATAACTCTTAGTCATCTTACTAGCAATCTTGTTAAGCAAACAAGCCACACTGGAACTACAACCCTATCTTTGAGGGAAAAAAAGGGGGGGTGATGGGCTGACAGGGAGGCAGGACTAGAATTGCCTAAGGGAAGGGAAAGGAAGGTCTCTAAAGCAGCAGGCGGGCGCTTGCCAGGCTGTCAACAAGAGCTTCCGATCTGCTCAGTCTTCCCAGCAAGGCAACCAAGGGAGACACAGAGTACAGCAGAGGAGACAGACCTGGACTAGTACCTCAGACAGGCTGCGGAGAACAGGCTTCAAGCCAGAAGCCAGGCGTGGTGGCTCACAGCTGTAATCCCAGCACTCAGGAAGCTAAGGCAGGAGGGTTGCTGTATATTAGAAGCCAACCTAGGCTGCAGTGAGAGCTGTCAAAACAAAGGTGGAGAAGATCAGAGGGAAACTGTGTTTCTAGGAGCGTGGTCTACTAATCAGGGTTTCCTTTGGCTCAGTGGCTTTTCCTGGTTTCCCTGTAAATGAGCGTTTGGGAAAACTTGTATTTTTGTCTCAGCTAAAATTGCAGAAGTACGTTTCTAAACTCCAGAAGTAGAAGCAATGACCAGATGCATAGGAGCAGAGTCCAGCATGAGGGCTTGGTAGGCAAGCCGACAGAGAAGGCACCCACCGGGCAAGGAGATGATTCGGTAGAAGCCACAGCATAGGGAACTTCAGTCAGCACCCTGGGTCTTCAGGGCGTCGCTCCAGGAAAGAGATCTGGGAAGAAATTAGGACCAGAGCCCAGCAGGGAGCAGTGACAGGAACTTGGGGGCTGTCTAGTCTTCAGCGAAAACTGGTTGTTCTTTGCAGGCTGGACAGTCTCAGAGCAACCGAGTGCGAGCCACCATGGTACCCCTGCCAATGGCCCCAGCCTCCGGTACGGCTCCCAAGATGTCAGCAGCCAGCAAAGCTCCCTCGGGAACCTTCCTGCCCTCTGATTCAGAGGAAGAGTATCCTTCGCAGACCTGAGTTCCCAGCGCCAGGACACAACCACACCACACAGACTGAGAGATCTGCATGCATGAGCTCAGGCTAAGAGACAGCCTCTGTCCCCGTACTGCCATTGCCCAGCTCAGGGCTGAAAGCAACACACCCAGGTCTGTCTTTTGTCCAGCGGGACTCTCTTTCTCTTCTGGTTCATTTGATAGTGTTGACACAAATAATTAAATGCCCAGTAAGCCTCTACCATTGTTAGGAGCATTCCTAGGCCAGAATTTCTTCTTCCTGAAGCTCTTTGCAAGAAAGTGGGTGAGGTCAGGTCATCCTTGGGAAAATGCAACTCAAGAATAACGACAAGGTTTTCACAGCTCAAGGAAAATCAAGACATCAGGGCCTGAACCCGCGTCCAGAGAGTTCCCTTCCCAGACCACCCACAGAGGTTCCCTTCAGCTTCTGTCTCTCAGTACCTGTGAGCAAGCGAGTGTAAGTTGAGAGGCAGGATGCTGTTCTGTTGTCCAGCAGAAGAGAGTGGACACGGTGAAGGAAGCCTACTCCCTAGCTCATCTCCTCTCCCCACACCTGCCTACCTTCCTGCCAGCTGCCTTGAACTGCAGGAAAGTAGCTGTCATCTGTAAACAGCACAGGGATGTTAAGGGCTGGGGATGCCACACAGCTGACCCAGGGTCACAGAGCTAGAAATCTGCCCAGGTGAGCCTGTGACCACCCAGGCTCTGAGCCACCACATCGTAGACTTCCCTCCCTGGGCCCCTTTCCTCCTTCCCTGGTCCCCAACAATTCCCTGGTCCTTCTCTGGATCCCCCCACACCCTCCCAGCACAGGCCGCCACTGTGATCCATTCACACACAGACTTTTTCAACCGAAACCGCTTTAATGAGACTTGTTTTATAAGTTAAAAATGCATCTGACAAAGAACAATACGAGAGTAGGGGTCCACACTGGCCTCCACTCTGAACAGTGGGCCCCTTCCACAGGCCGAGTCCATGAGCCATGCGCCCCTTAGCGCTGCTGGGCCTCCCCAGGGCCTGTCGCTAGGCCTCATTTGCTCTGGGGCTCTGGGTCATCCCTTGATGCCTCTGGTCCCCTAGTCTTAACACAGCCGGCCGTCCCACCCTCTGGCTCCTGCTGGTTATAACAGGTTTGATGTCACCGCCCCTGAAACTATGAGAAACTGTCTCAGGTAGAGCCTTCCGACTTGACCCCTGCCCTGTCATTCCCCTCTCTAGAAAGCCCACAGTCCCAGCCCCCTGAGGCCCCACCCTTCTGGACCTGGCTGTACAGAGCTCTATCTGAGCTGTGGCCTTTGCTGCCGCTGCTGCCTGTGGTACCAGGCTCAGGGAGGGCCAAACCCTGTGGCTTGGGAGCAGGGACAGGCTTCGAGGTGCGCGGCCGGGGCACAGCATAGTCATCCGTGGCAGGGTTGTACGGGAGCTCATAGCCCTCCTCCTTCGCCCGAGCCTGGCACCACCATGCATCCTTAGGCTCCTGGGGCAGATCATAAAGGCCCCGGAGAGGGGCTGGGGCCAGGCCCTCGGGTTCATCATAGATGGGGTCCTCTTTGCTGTCCGTCAGCGTGGCTCTCTGCAATTGGTGCTGCACGTGGCCGGACAAGTCCCAGTAGAGAGGCTTCTTGGAGTGCACGCCCTCCCCGGCCCTAGCAGGGGTGCTGCCCACGGGGTCTGAGTAAACAGAGTCCTGAGAAGGGCCTGGGGGGATCCGAAGGGAGTCTAACGGCTCGGCGTACAGGGCCGGGGGGCTGCCCCGAGGCTCCTGAGGACCGGGAGGAGAAGCCACCTTCCCCTCCGCCTCCCCTTCATGGGAGTCAGTTCTGAGGATGTCTTGGCCCTGTCCCACCTTTCCTTGCGCTTTCTGCTTCTGGATGGCAGCCTCAACAGCCTGAAAGATGTCGTTTCCCTGTGCCGTCTGGAAGGTGAAAGTTCCGGGGCCGGAGGGGCAGCGGCGGCCCGCTTCGAAAGAGAACATGACCTGAGGGCGTGGAGGGAAGCCGTTAGGAGTGTCCTAAGAGATGAGTCACAGGCCTGACCCACTTATTAGTGTGGCCACTGGGAATACAGCTGGCCAACCCCACGCCCTCCCTGACAGCCCTGGCCCTGGCACCTTGTCCCGGCCATAGCGACGCAACAGGGTGTAGGGCCAGAACAGGACAGGCGCCAGGGTCTGACCCTGGGCCGCCAGAGTCAGGAGGGCCAGCTTCTCAGCTTCCACCCTCAGGACGTAGGAGCCCTGCAGGCCGCAGCGTTCGGAAGCCTCGGTCTTCTGTGTGGTTACCCAGAACTGGGAGCCTGGAGGGAACACACAGAAAGGGGAAGGAGGCTGGGCAGGGTTGGAGACTTGGCAGACTCCAATGACCGGCTCCCCACGGGCACACCTTCTCCCCATTCCATTCATGCCTGGCGCCTACCTTCCCAGGCAGGGCTGTACAGGGAATTCTCCAGCATCTCCAGTGCAGAAAACTTAGGCGGGTTTTCCGTCTGCGCCAAAGCCCAGCCGCCTTTCTGCAGGAACAGGGACACCGAGGACCATATATATATATATATAATTCCCGCGGGCCTGAAGAAGTGCGGGAGGTCCAGTGCCGCTCGCCCCCAGCCCCTCACCGGAAAAGCGTTTCTGCACAAAGTCTGCACCCAGGCGGCGCTGGACGGGGCGTCCGCCGCCAGCAGGTGTGAGCGCTGCGCGGTGTCCAGGCGGAAGGCGGTGGCGCCGGGCTCGGGGGGGCTGTCCACGGGCACAGGGGCCACGCTCACGCACTCGGCCAGGCGGATCACCTTGCAGTCCAGACGGCGAGAGCCGCCTCGACCCCCTCCAGAGCTCGACCCCTTGTGGTCAAAGAACTCGAGCCGCGCCACGCCGTGGGGACTGGCTGGGTAGAGCACCGCCCAGGTTTTCCTCCACCTCTGGGGACACGAAAGACGCGGGAGTGCGCGGCAGCACGCCCCACGGGGAAGGAGAGACCTGCGCAGGCCGCCCCGAGGCGGGGTCACCGTCCCAAAGGCAAAGCCACCGCACCTCCTCCCTAGGACGGCTCAGCCTGGGGCTTCCAGGGAACGCCACCCGGCTCTGCAACTGCCCGAGCGGCGTCCCTACCTGTTTCCGGCCCCTTTCCTCTTTCGGGACACTTTTACCCTCTTGGTCCGGGGGGTTTCGCCATCCGCCACGCCGCACACGCACACGCACACGCACGCACACTACCTTGGTCCCGAAGCGCTGACTCTGGAGAAAGAGCGGACCCTCCATCACAGCCCCGTCCATGGCCCCGGCGGTTCCTTCCCCGCTTCCTGGCCCCGAGGGCGGGGGGCGGGGCGGGGCGGGGCTGCAGGGGCCGGAGGCGTGCCCGCCCCTCCCGGGCCCGGCGGCAATGATGGGGGATGGAGGAAGAGGAGCCAGCAGCGGCAGGAAGGAGTCGGGCATCCCCAGATAAGGCGCCCGGGGCCTTCTGCCCTGCCGTCAGCACACGGCGGCGCCACTCAGGGGAGCCGCGATTGCCAACTAGAAGGCCGCGGGGACTGGGAGGTGGGGTGGGTGACGTCATGCGCTCACGGTGACGTCAGAGCGAGGCCGGTGACGTCGCCCGCAGGCACCCCGGGGGCACTACAACGACCAAGGGGGCCCTCGGAGCATTAATTCCCCTTGCGGGACCCGCTCGCGTGGCCCAGCCCTGGAGTTGAACCGGGGACGTGGAGGAACGGCTGGGGGCTGGAAAGTTTCCCGCCGCCCGCACAGGGGCCGATCCCGAAACCGTTTGCAAGTCCAGCATCCCGACCGCGGCTGCCCGGCCTCCAACCTGCGGGAAAAGAAAGCTTCATTGAGCCGGGAGAGGGCGGGTAGGGGCGGGGGGGGGGGGGCGGACGGCTGCAGCCAGCTCCACGGGGGAGGGGAAGATGTAGAGGAGGGAACTGGCCTGGCTGGAATGGAGGGAGAAAGCGGAATGTGGGAGGGCTCTGGAGGGCGTGGGAGGGACCAGCGAGGAGGGGGAGGAAGGGGGGTCCAGTCTCCCCTGGCCGAACAAATTTTTTTGGGAAGTCCTAAAACTAATCTCCGGGACCAGGACTCTGCTTCAGCCTCTGGAGCTCTGCCTAGGCGAAGAAGGTAGGAGAGTCACTGCCGGCCAAGAGGAGGAGGACTTGGGGATGGAGAGGATGGTGGACCAGAGGGAAAGTTGATTTGGGATGGAGCCAACCAGCTGACAGTTATATTATTGTTAAGGAGCGGAAACACGAGAGTGGCCGTGTCTGTAGACACCGGGGATGGCAGCTTGAGGGTGCAGCTGGGAGGCCCTAAATCCAACACAAGGGCTTCCAAGCCAAATGCCCCCAAAACAAAGCTGTCTTGTCTGAGAGAGGGGAAGCAGTTCTGGGGGGCCGCTTGCCTTGATTTCAGCCTCGGGTAGACAAGGCCTGAGCTAAGGAACCAGCCCTAGCTTGTGGTTGCCGGGTGACAGAGGCACCAAAGCCTGCCCAGCTTGAACCTAGCTCTCCTGGAGCGCCTGACCCTGCCGCCTGCAGGGGATTTGTGAGCCCATGTGCTCAGGAGGGTGGCTGAAGGTTCTCCTACTCTGTTTAGCCTCCGCCTTCCCTGCCTGGGCATCTGCTTCCTTAGAAAGCCTCACACAGTCTTCTCATTCATAATTCTGAGGTCTGTGTGTCTGTTCTCCCAGGCTCCCCTTGCCTGTGCCGCTGCTGCCTGAGTCTGCCCGCTGCCTGGGTCGTCCTGTCATTCCCCCTACGCCTGCACCTTGGCTTCGGGTCCCTCTCCTCGTGGTTTGTGCCTGGCTGTGTCACTCTCCAATACTATGCGTTTCCGTTTCTATCATGTCTGTCCATATTCCATGTGTCTGCCGTGCAGTGCCTTTCGGTTTTTTTCCCTTCATTCCCACACTCTCTCTTCCTCTCACATCCTGTCTGTCTGGGTCATCCTCTCTGTGTGTTTCTTCTCAGTCTCTCTCTTTGTCCGGACCATCACCACACTCTCGGCCTGGAACCCCACACCCACCCCAAGTGATGGGAGCAAATGGAGATGGAGATGATGATGATGGTGATGGCCAAACTAGGGAAGAGCATTGGGGGGACACAGCAACTTACGTCAGCCTTATCATTTGCAAAGGGAGAGCCTCCCTCAACCCCAATCTAGGTCTCTACCCTCATTTAGTGTGTGCCTCCCTCTCTGTCCCTTAGTGCCCACGCCCTGGGGCTCTGCCTGCCATGAGACCTGTCAGTGTGTGGCATTACTGCTCATGGCCACTGCTGCTACTACATTGGCTGTGCAGCTCCTGTGTGGGGTCTCCGTCCCCTCCCACTGACCCGGAGAAGAAGGCGGGAAGCCAGGGGCTGAGGTTCCGACTGGCCGGCTTTCCTAGAAAGCCCTATGAGGGCCGTGTGGAAATACAACGTGCCGGTGAGTGGGGCACCATCTGTGACGACGACTTCACGCTGCAGGCTGCCCACGTCCTCTGCCGGGAGCTGGGCTTCACAGAAGCCACAGGTTGGACGCATAGTGCCAAATACGGCCCAGGAGCAGGTGAGCAATGCTCTGTGCTGGCCCAGACGCCACCTAAGTGCAGTTCAAGGACACAGAGGACACCGTGATGGCACAGCCACAGGGCGTGAGGCACCAAGAATGGATAGAACTAAGTAAAGGGCACGGATAACAAACCGCCTAATATAGTAGTTTCCGGGCCATGTGACCTGACACTAGACCATGCTTCCCATGAGCCTCCATGTTCCGTGTGCCCAAAGTGGGGGGTGGGTTGGTAAGTCCTCCTGTGCACAGTAAGTCTCTGCAGAGCCAGGTACAGGGATAGCCCGTTGCAGCTGAACGCTGAATGATCCGAGTGCAGCTATCCTGATGAGGGTGTGAGAGAGAGCAGGTGAATGGTGTCCTGCACGTCCCATAGTTAGAAGGGGTCCTATACTACAGCTGACAAAAAAACCAGGGTGCAGCCCAGAGCCAAAACCAGCAAGCTGGAACTCACGTGGCTCAGGTGTGAGTGAGGGTTAAGGCACACAACCCTCTGAGGCTGGGGGGTGCTCGGCCCATATGGACCCAGAGTAGGATGGTTCGATGCCTGTTCGCACTGGCTCTACCACTTGTGAGATGAAGAGTCACGTGGAGCAGCCACACTTTGAGAGAGACAGGAGGAAATGGAAATGCTGGACGAAGGGTGTAGCTCGGAGGTAGAGTGCTTGCCCTGCTTAGCCCTGCAAAGAGAAGGAGGGAGGGAAGGGGAGAGAGGAGGGAGAAAGATGAAACCACTTTCAGGAGCCACGTTTTTTTGGGAGGAATGGCAAAAAAAAAAAAAAAAAAAAAAAAACCCTCCTGGCCCTGGCCCAGAAACAAAGTAACCAGCCTCCAGCCTCAGTTAGCAATTATGTGACGACTGTGTTCAAAGTCAGGAAGGACAGTCGTGGCTGAAGGGTTTTCTGGGTAGCATCAAAGAACTGAATCAGACCTGGTTGGGAAAGTTGTAAAGACCCACAAGAACCTTCTGGTGTGGTTGTGTGGTCTCCTGGGGCAGAAGGGTAAGCTCTGTTAGACTAGGAGGGGTGCCCTGGACGCTGCCACACGTACCTTTGAGGAGGTCCCTCCCAGTTCTGAGTGGTCAATGATACTCAATATGACCCAGACAGTAAAAATAGGGTCCCTGCGGCAGCATAGGCGTACAGAAAAAGCCACGGGGAAGAATGTCAGAGCGAAGGGAAAGGTTCCAAGATTCCCAGGTCTTGGTGAGAAGCCAAACTCTTAGGTAAGTTTCGTCATTTTTGGAGCCCCGGCCTATTTACACGAAGTAGCTTTCTGGCAGCTCCAGTCTAAGAATGATTAAGTACGGACATACTACGACAGAGCATTTGGCACGTAGTATGTACTTAACCATAGCTATTATTGAATGAATCCTTATTAACGAGGACTTAAATGTCGATTCTTGGTTGTTGTTGTTTTTGCCCTAATCACTCTCCGCCTCAGAGTCCCTTGCCCCTTCTCTATCTCTTTCTCATGAGGGGGGGGAGGGTATCCTCCAGGCCACATGAGCCCACCATGTTCCCTCTCCTCCTTCCTCAAACACCTTTCCACAGGCCGCATCTGGCTGGACAATCTGAGCTGCAGTGGGACTGAAGGAAGTGTGACAGAATGCGCCTCCCGCGGCTGGGGAAACAGTGACTGTACCCACGATGAGGATGCTGGGGTCATCTGCAAGGACCAGCGCCTTCCTGGCTTCTCAGACTCCAACGTCATTGAGGTCTGCAGTGCACGCACGCGCGCACACACACACACACACACACACACACACACACACACACACCCAAAAAGTCTGCGGGGTAACCATGTGTGGCTAGAAGATATATTATAAACCCTTAGGGGATAATGTGGATTTCTGGGAACCTTGGAAGGTGGGGGCAAGTGGGTAGGCGTTGCATTGCAAGGTCCAGTTTTAAAAATGCATGTGGTGCCCTGCGGCCGTTTACGTCTGTGCGCCCTGTGCATGCCCAGTGCAGGCAGAGACCAGAAGAGGCCACTGCATCCCATGGAACTGGGATGGTAGGTAGTTGTGAGCTGCCGTGGGGTCCTGGGAATCGAACCCCCGTCCTCTGGAAGAGCTCTAGCCCCTCCAGTTTCATTCCTGGTCACCTGCCCTCCTCCGATGTTTCTCCTCTCGTCCAGTGTCTTTTCCTACTTTCTTCTCTTCCTAAGACACCTGCTTCCCTCTCTCCGTGCCTTCGGGACCTGTTATTATTTCTCTGGCATGGCATGCTCTGCCTCTATCACACGCTGCAGTCTGGGGCACATCCCCCAGAAGGGCAGCTAGCTGGCCTGGCATCGCCCTTAGGCTCGGCTCAGGGGTCTCACCAGTGGGTTTTACAGCACACACAACCCGGGCTCCTTCGGGTGGCACAGCATTGCCCCTGGGATTCTTCCCCCTGCCTCTGGCTCCGTCTCAGGTAGAGCATCACCTACAAGTAGAGGAAGTACGACTCCGGCCAGCTGTGGAGTGGGGCAGGCGACCCCTGCCCGTCACTGAGGGCCTGGTTGAAGTCAGGCTTCCTGATGGCTGGGCCCAAGTGTGTGACAAAGGCTGGAGCGTCCACAACAGCCACGTGGTCTGCGGTATGCTGGGCTTCCCTGGAGAGAAGAGAGTCAACATGGCCTTCTACAGGTGCGGGGCTCAGGGGTGTTTGCAGGCCTTGGAGAGGATGAGGGGTACTGTGGGAAGCCCGTCTAAGGGAGGGGACGCAGGGGAATGGCTGTTGACACAGGAGGCTGGGGAAAACACTGAAGGCTCTCCTACCCACCCACGGTAGGAGACGGGCTGATGGGCGAGCGGCAGAATGCGAGTGCGTGCCGGTGACGTCATCGGTAGGCAGGCAGATTTCTGGAGCCTGGGCGCTGGGGCTGGGAGAAATTCAGAGTTTGCAGAGGGTGCAGCCCGCCTGTCGGAGGGAGGCGGTGCCTGCGGGTGTCTTCGTGATACTGTGCCTGGGGCCTCAGAAACTGTGCCTGGCCAGCAGTCACTGGTGAAGGGTTCTGTGCAAAGGGCGGCTTCCTTCCTGCAGTGTCTCATTTGGTAGTTTGAATAAACAGCCCATGCTAGCCAGGCAGATACTTGGAGATCTGTCCAGTCGGCGTCAATCTGCAGCGTGTCTTGCAGGCCCAAGGCACGTTGCTTCAGCTCTTATGTATTTCACTTGTGGGCAGGCTTCTTGCGAGCTACACGACTTTCCACTGAGCAGACTGCTGTGTGCACCAATGGGGCTCGGCATCGCAGAAGTGCCGGCCTTTGAAGAACGTTGGCGTTTGCCCCATGTTGAGACAGAAAACCGTTTCGGGTCTTATCTCTAATAGGATAAAGCTGCCTTTTGAGCCTGAGTGTATTGCTGGGCAGAGCATGGCCATAATGTAACCAGTATTTTTATTCTCTCATCTATAATGAAATTATGGTGGATTTTTGCTGTGTTCACAGCAGTCTCCAGCCTCCAAAGTGCAGTGGCCCTCCGTGGAAAGCTATCATGGAGGTTTGAGTGCAATTTTACTAATTCTTAGTAATTCTTAGATCTCCAAGTGTTGCCATGTTTTTAGATGCTCGCAAACTTTCTCTTTAGCTATAAACTTACTCTTGAGTAGCATTTATCTGCACAATCAGAAAACTTTTTCTTTTTCCTAAGGTCATTATAGTCTCTAATATCCACTTGTTTCCACATGTGCTGGGATTTTCTTTGTTGTGTCCAAACTCGTCTGGAAGTCCTTTCGGCCCTAAGGGGTACAGCTGAGCTGTCATCTGCAGACTGACTGCATGTTCTGCCTTTCACATCGTCCAGGCTCTGCCTTTCAGAGTTCAAACTCTAAAACAGTTGTGGGGGGTTGGGGCTTTTTTGAAGAGAAGAGGGTGGAGTGAACCAAGGCCTAGGGAGTCTCTCATCCAATGCCACACCCTGTGCTGGCTTCTGTTGTAGACTTTGGAGCTTCCACAGGGAGCAGAGACATTCTTCCAGGCACCAGGGGACAGCCAAAAAATAAGTGAACTTATAAAACCTCTGTCAGAGCAAGGTTCATGGCCTCTTACTCAAGACTGAAAGAGCTCAGGCAAACAGGGAAGGGGGGGGAAGGGTTTTACTCAAAGGTAATGTGGAAGTTTGGAACGGGCTGCAGGAGAGTCACAGCAAGCCACCTGAGCTGCAGTACTGGGGGACACCCGGCCACTGCCCAGGGCTTGCTTCCCTGGGTCAGGAAGAGGGAACTGGTTGTGAAGGGATGAACCACGGACAGTTTCCTCTTTTGATTGGCAGGCTTGGGTTATAGAGGCCTTTGTTTAGTGCTCATGTCTTTTCCTAGGATGCATCTGATTTTAATCATATGTATACCCAATCATGAATAAGCATATGATGGCATATTGGAGCTTTTCTCTAAAAGTATATTCAGAGAATACAGTTTACCTCTCCTCACTGGCTTTCAGAACCTGTCTAAGCTGATTAGATTCAAGGCCTTAGTTCCTGAATATGTTCCAGGATGTATTTGCTCCAAAAAGGGAGTTACCAAGGGTTGCTAGGCCAGCTTTATGCCAGGGTTAACCAATTGCTTTGCTTAGGGACAGGTGTTCATGCAGCAAGCGGCAAGTGGGTTCCAGCGTGCTAAGTGCTCTGTTGAGAGAGGGGTGTGTATGTGTCCGTAGCTCAAGCCGACTGAGGGCCAGCTTGTTAAGCTGACCCAGTGCTTGTACCTGTCCTGACCCCAGGTGTTTTTGTCTTTGTTTGAGACCATAGCTCATGTATCCCTTGGCTGGCCTTGAACTCATGACCCTTCTGCACCCACCTAAGTACTGGGGTTATGGACCTGTATCTCCATGCCCAGCTGATGTATGGCATTTAATCACATTTATAATCCTTACTTTGACTTTGAATTGCTTTATTTTATGTTATCTATTAGTATGTGTGTGTGTGTGTGTGTGTGTGTGTGTTCCTGTCCGTGTGTGTGTGTGTGTTCCTGTCCGTGTGTGTGTGTGACCCTGAGGCAGGAAAATCAGCACTGGGTCAAGTTATAGGCCAGGCAGGGCTACACATCAAGACCCCATCTCAACCCTGCTCCACAATTCACTGCCTCGCGTGGGCCCTCCAGCCGCAGCCAAAAAAGGCATACGCAGTATTGGGCCAGGACAAAGAGTGACCATAATTAAAGTCTTTAAAATTAAAGAGACAGCAAGGAGAAACTGAATTAAGGAAGCCTGCTGGAGAAGGAAGTCAATTTTGAGGGTAATTTAAAAGAGACTTCCCTGCAAACATGTTTGGGAGATGAGCTTGGCTTTGAATGACCAGGCAGATGGGATTGGAACTTGGGCAGGAAGAAGGCTCACAGCCAAACCAAGTTAATATCCTCAAATATGGGGTCCTCCATCCCTGGCCCAGCAGCCTCAGGCCTAGAACCACACAGGCATGCACGCACTGCACACACAGACGGGTAAAAAGGGTGCAGTCAGCCTCCCTGGACCTGATCCAAGCTAGTAACCCCAATGCTCCCCTCTACGGTCAAACTTTCTTTTTGGACCACCAGCTCACAGATAATAACACATAGGCTTGCTATTGATTATGACAGTTTTGCCTTAGCTTAGGCTTTCCCCCAACTCGCTCTTATAACTTAAGTTAACCTGTTTTTATTAATCCACATTCTGCCATGTGGCTTGGTTACCTCTCCTCTGTACTGTATATCCAACCTTTTCAGGATCTCCCTGGTGTCCCATGTGCGCCTAGATTCATCCCGAGTTTCTCTCTCTGCCTGGAAGTCCTGCCTAGCTGTTGGCTATTCAGCTCTTGGTTAGACCAATCACAGAGACACAGCTTTACACAACACACTTCTTCTGGGCTCCCCTGGGGTTTTCTTCCAACCTCCTGACCTGGAAGCTTCATTCTTTGTGGGTTTTTTCTTTTATTTTATTTTTTTGCAAGACAGGGTTTCTCTGTGTAACAGCTCTGGCTGGGACTCAATTTATAGACCACGTGGGCCTTAGCTCAGAGATAGGCCTGCCTCTGCCTCCTGAGTGCTGGGGTTAAAGATGTGTGTCACCACCGCCCGGCCCAGCTCATCTGTCTTGATCTAATTTCTGAAGGTCTTGGTATTGGGACACTGTTCTGAGTTCTCGGCTTTCACTGAGGCTCAGTCACCTGCTCCTGTGCTAGGACAGCCTCCAGGGCCTCGGAAGTAGCTGATAGCATCACACTACTCTTGGAAGCTCCCTGATAGGGAAGGAATCTTGCTCCTGGTTCTGGCTGCACTGGCCTTTTCCGCTTGATTCTACACCCATCCTGACCTGATATTGTCTTATCCTCGCAGAAAGTTGAGGAAGCGAGCGGCCAAAGCCTCGGCCCGACGCCCCAACCCCCTCAGAAGGTAAAGGGGCCAGAGCCCCGGGACCTCCCGACAGCCCCTGAGGCCTCAGGAGGTGGATGGATGGATGGAAACCTATCCATGTCCATCCCAGAACCCAATCCTATCTATGGATTAGGGATGTATTGGATAACGGCTACTCCCAGGGGAGGGAGGGAGGGAGGCATGGGAATGGGTGAGCTTTGATCTTAGGGAATGGGAGGAGAAAGTTATGCAGGAGCAGCTGTGGAGATACTTGTGCCTTTCTACCTCTCCCGAAGGAAGGATTGCACTGCAGGCTCGGCCCCTGTATTCTTCCTCCTCCCCGCCCACCCCCACTGTTAGCTCAACTCCCTGAGTCCAAGAACATTTCCACTCTCTCCTCCCTCGACCTTCAGCTGACCTCCTTTGCTCTCCCTCACCTCAATTTCCATAACTAGATTTGCCTACTGTGGCGCTGATTCCAGTGAGCCAGCGTTGGGAGTCGCTAAGTGTGTCTCCTCCTGTAGCTTTCAGCGGCCCGTTATGGTTACATGCATGGAAATTAGTCTCCCTCCCCATACTGGGAGCAAAAGGTCCTTCCAGAAGCAAAAGTGCTCCGCTTTTCCTGAGCTACACCCTCAACCGCTGCCTCTACCAACACCTTTCTCCTTTTTGCAGAACAATCAACAAGTTTAAAGTCAAACACAAGCCCCGAGTGGGCAGGGGTCCAAGCAAGAGGTAAATGAGTTTGGGCTTGGAAGCAGAGAGGAAACAGGGCGGCGGGTAGGGCGGTGCTGTAACCAGGAAAGGGTCCAAGACAGGACTGATGGACTGATGGAACTAATAAGGGGAGCTGTGACAACCACCTTCCAGATCCTTCTAGAAATGTGAACCGGGTCGCTGTGATGTGCGTCTCTGGGTACTGTGTTCATCATAGGTTTTGTTTCTTGTCCTGTGCTTGGTTTCCTCCTGTGAGTTCTAGTAGAATCTGTCCCGTGCCAGCCTCTCCCCGGCAAGATTATAGTGTGGTCGAGAGATCTGTGGTCTTGTTATTTCCATTTTTTAAAAGCAAACATTACCAGGGGCTGGAGAGATGGCTCAGTGGAAGAGTGGACACTGCTCTTCCAGAGGACCATACCAGGCAACTCACAACTGCCTTTGACTTCAGCTCCTAAGGATCCCACGCTGATGCCCTCTTCCGCCTCCCTCAGCCACCTGCAATCATGTGATCATGTGCACAAACCCGCACTGAGACATACACATACACGTAATTAAAGGTTTTTGTTTTTAAGGAAATAGTACCAGTTCACCTGGTGTGGCCTATGGAACCTTTCCAGGGATGGCTTAAGAATCACAGCCCCTGCCTGGCTGCCTGTTAGGCATCCAATCCCATATTTTCTTACTCAGAATTCAAGGGAATAGGAGACTTCCAACCCTTCCAACCAACTTGTCTAAAATCTCCCTGCTAATTTGTGACTGAGGACTGGAGAAGGCATCCCTCTCATGGTCCCTTCCCCTCCTCAGCGAGCTCCAGTTTTCTCTGCACCCACCCACCCCACCCCCCACGGTATTCCTCACTCATGGGCTCCTGTCCCTGGTGACCCTCAAAGAGCTCAGAACTCGATGAGCCTAAATTCTTGCAACTCTCTTTGCCCAACACACCTACCCTTTGGCTCTTCCCCTGACCCCCACACTAAAGCACGCACTTCATAACCTCTTTTTATTGGTTATAGGGAGTGGGTGAGCGAGTGTTTACAAGTTAGATGTCATTTCCTGTGATGGCCTGAGTCCCATTTTCAGCCAAACAGGACCCTGAGAGTACCTGATGGCTCTGATTTTCAGGGTCCGTTCATCCCGGGCTTCCAAAGGTATTCTGTAAAGGGTCCTGCTTCCTTTGCCCGTTTTGTTTACAAATACCTTCCCCTCTTGTCTTCCTAGCCAATGGCTGCTCACTGTCACATGCCCTCTTATCTCTAATGTCAGGGATAGGGCACCTACTGCAATAATTCACAACAATCAGACTCGTGGGCCCACTCCACTGACGCCAGGCCTCTGCCTTTTTCCCTGAGCTCCACTCAGCATTTCTGAGAAGACAGACTTCCCTCCAATCACCTGGCTGCAAGCTCGCGTTCTATTCTCTCAGGCATCAGTAGCGTGTTTCCGAATGTTAGCGTCTCTACTTTTGTCCTATTTCCCCACTCAAATGGCCGTGCAACAATGCTCAGTTGAAACTGGGCAAGCATGGGCTACCTCATTGAAGACATCTGCAGCTCAAATCAGGTCTTGGGTCATGTTTGTCATCGGGATAGCAGTAGCCACCTTCCCTCTTTGGCCATGTATCCCTCCAAGTTTTTGTCTGTCTGGTGTTTGTCTTTGTTCCAGAGAGTCATCCTTAGTCCTTCCTCCTGCCATCTTCTAGTCCATTCTTGCCATAGCTGTCTGTCATGCTATGACAGGGCTTCTAACCCAGAAGCCCCTCTGACCTCTGAGAAACCATCTAGAAGCAGACTTCCCCGGTACCGAGCGTCCTGGCTCGCTGTCATTGGGCTTGTTCAGTCACAGCATAGTAGGAAGGTCTCCAGCCAGCTTTGTCTTCTGCGTCAGCCCCACCTTGTGAGTCACCTCTTCTGGCTTCCCCTTCAGTGTGCATGGCCACCCTGGCCTCAGCCTCAGCCTCAGCCTCCCTTTGGGTCATTAAGAACAAGATTGCACTGGGTGGTGGTGGCGCACACCTTTAATCATCCCAGCACTCAGGAGGCAGAAGCAGACATATCTCTGTGAGTCTGAGGCCAGCCTGGTCTACAGAGGGAGCGAATTCCGGGACAGCCAGGGCTACACAGAGAAGCCCTATCTCAAAAAAAAAAAAAAAAAAAAAAAAAAAAAAAAAAGAACAAGAACAAGAACAAGGTTGCTATGGAACCTGGCTCCTCTTTTGGTAGTACTCTGCTGCAGAAAAAAGTCCCCCACGGCCCTGACTGGGTAGGCAAGCTCTTTCAGATCTGCATGCTGTCTCCCTGTACAGTAGCCACCCTGTCTCTCGAGAGAACTCAGGAGGGGGCAGAAGACGATAAGAGGGCATGGGAAGTTGGGGGTGGGGCGGGAGGCGAGGACCCAGCCTCACCCTTCTGCACCCCACTCCTCCCCCCACAGGATGCTGGCCCAGAAGCAGCAGCACACCTTTGGCGTGCACGGGGTAGCGTGTGTGGGCACGGAAGCCCACCTCTCCCTTTGTTCTCTGGAGTTCTATCGTGCCAATGACACCGGCAGGTGCTCCGGGGGAAACCCAGCGGTGGTGAGCTGTGTGTTGGGTCCTCTTTACGCCGCCTCTACGGGGCAGAAGAAGCACCCACAGCCCAAGTCTCAGGGGGAGGTAAGTAAGGCAGTGCGTGTTGTCATTCTGCAGTACTGGAGACCAAACCCCTGGGCTTCACACCCACCATTCGGCTACACCCGCAGCCTGACAGTGAATGTGACCTTTGTCCACCCAGTGTGGGAACCCTAGCACGGCCCTGACCTTTAAAACAGGGAACCACCCGGTGCCTGTGCCGCAGACCTGACACCCACTCTTGTCATTAAAAGCTCTTTAGCTCCCTGGGCTACATAGCCCTCCCCAGACCAACGTTTCTAGGCACCTCTTTGGGCATGTCTGTCTTCTACAGGCCCGTGTGCGCCTAAAGGGTGGTGCCCATCCTGGAGAGGGCCGAGTGGAAGTCCTGAAGGCTGGCACGTGGGGCACAGTCTGTGACCGGAAGTGGGACCTGCAGGCAGCCAGCGTGGTGTGTCGAGAGCTGGGCTTTGGCACTGCTCGAGAGGCCCTGAGCGGTGCCCGCATGGGGCAGGGTGAGGGGAAGGGATGTCCGTCCACGGCCACACTACTGGGGGTGCATCCCTTGGGGAGGTACGGAGCCCTCTGGACAATGAAGGTCTAGTGGCAGCCTCCGCCACCTTGACGTCTGACTCTAGGCATGGGGGCTATCCACTTGAGCGAAGTGCGGTGCTCTGGCCAAGAACCCTCCCTCTGGAAGTGTCCCTCCAAGAACATCACCGCTGAGGACTGTTCCCACAGCCAGGATGCCGGTGTACGATGCAACCTCCCCTACACTGGAGTGGAGACTAAGGTCAGCCGTGCATTCTGCTTTGGCTCTTTCTACCCAGACCTAGTCTCCAAAACAGCCTGACTGCATCCAGCCTTTACCGCAGGCCCCGCCCCCGCTCCCGCAGGCCCCGCCCCCGCTCCCGCAGGCCCCGCCCCCGCTCCCGCAGGCCCCGCCCCCGCTCCCGCAGGCCCCGCCCCTTCTGTCTCTGCTCCCAGCGTGGACTGTCAACCCAGCTTCCCCTGTGCTCTTCCACCCTGTCCCTCTACAGATCCGACTGAGTGGGGGCCGAAGCCGCTATGAGGGGCGAGTGGAGGTGCAAATAGGGGCCCCTGGGCGCCTCCGCTGGGGCCTCATCTGTGGGGATGACTGGGGGACCCTGGAGGCCATGGTGGCCTGTAGGCAACTTGGTCTGGGCTACGCCAACCACGGCCTGCAGGTGAGTGGGAGAAGAGGGGGACCAACGCCTCTGTCACCCAAGTCTGTGCTTTGGGCAAAGGACTGTGGAATCGAGCCCCCTGGCCCTGTAAACTGGAACCGACGGCCTCGCCAACACCCACCCCCTCCCCCAGGAGACCTGGTACTGGGACTCAGGGAATGTAACTGAGGTGGTGATGAGCGGAGTGCGGTGCACGGGGTCTGAGCTGTCCCTGAACCAGTGTGCCCATCACAGCACCCACATCGCCTGCAAGAGGACCGGAACCCGCTTCACTGCAGGAGTCATCTGTTCTGAGAGTGAGTGGGTAGCAGAAGCTAGGGAGGCAAGCCCCGGCCCATCATCTGCAGGGAGAGGTGCTGGGATGTGGACGGGCTCCTTTGCCAACGAGAACCCGGTGTGCCCCCCCCAGGGAGACGGGTGCCCTCGGCGGTAATGCCCACCTCTCTTTCTCATGCAGCTGCCTCAGACCTGCTGCTGCACTCAGCGCTGGTACAGGAGACTGCTTACATTGAGGACCGACCACTGCACATGCTGTACTGCGCTGCTGAAGAGAACTGCCTGGCCAGCTCCGCCCGCTCGGCCAACTGGCCCTACGGGCACCGGCGTCTGCTCAGATTCTCCTCCCAGATCCACAACCTCGGAAGAGCCGACTTCAGGCCCAAGGCCGGACGCCACTCTTGGGTGTGGCATGAATGCCATGGGTGAGGCCAAGGGGGCCGGGCGAGGCTGGCGGGGGGCTGACAAGCCTGCTGGCCCTTCAGAGACAGCCACCAGGCCCCTTGTCCCACAGGCATTACCACAGCATGGACATCTTCACTCACTACGACATCCTGACGCCCAACGGCAGCAAGGTGGCCGAGGGCCACAAAGCCAGTTTCTGTCTGGAAGACACTGAGTGTCAGGAGGGTGAGTTGGGGCCAGAGTGGACGTAAGCGAGCGTAGCCTTGCCCTTCGCTGACATGTAATGCCCCCTTCAGATGTCTCCAAGAGGTATGAGTGCGCCAACTTCGGAGAGCAGGGCATCACCGTGGGATGCTGGGATCTCTACAGGCACGACATTGACTGTCAGTGGATCGACATCACAGACGTGACGCCGGGAAACTACATTCTGCAGGTGCCTGGCATCTGCCTGCGCTTTTGGACGCTGTGGTTTGGGGCTGGGCTGGGGGAGTGTAGCTGGCTCACGCCGGCATTCTTTCTAACTCGCAGGTGGTTATCAACCCAAATTTTGAGGTAGCAGAGAGTGACTTTACCAACAATGCAATGAAATGCAACTGCAAATACGATGGGCATCGCATCTGGGTACACAACTGCCACATCGGTAAGGGGCGGGGCGGGGCGGGGCGGGGCGGGGCGGGGCGGGAGGAGCTTTCGCCCCTGAGTGGTTTCCTGGTCTCCACACCATCCCGTGAGGGGTGTGTGTTCCTGCGTCCAGGGTGTCCCTCACCGTGCCTGTCTACTGTGCAGGTGATGCCTTCAGTGAAGAGGCCAACAGGAGGTTTGAGCGCTACCCTGGCCAGACCAGCAACCAGATCGTCTGAAATGCCGCCACCCTCGCAGCAAACTACCGCTGCCCCCCCACCCTGGGCCTCAGGAGCTTACCACAAGAAGCCCTGATGTCAGCAGGCCTGCGACACTCATCCACCTGTGCACTACAGATGACAGACTGCTATTGGACAGAAGTTGGCACCTCCCTTACTGGGTCAGCAGTCAGTACCTTTGGCCAGGCATGGAGAATCGGCCAAGAGACAGAATGCACAGCACACAGAACTGCCCCAACAGGAAGGGGCCGCGGCTGGTTCCTTGAATAGGAGGTCAGAAGATCAGCTCCTGCAGCTCTCCTAAGTACCGCTTTACCTCTAGCCTTTTGATGGGGGAAAAGATCCAGCCCCCATTTTTGACTGAAACATGTTGCTAGGTATAATTTTATTTTATATAAAATGTGTTCTTCAGAGCCCAGGATTGGTGCTGATGGTTAGGGGGACCTGCCCTCTCTAGGTCCATTGACTCCCCAGCCCAGGTGCGCTCAGAACCTAGGCTAGGAAGGTGAGGGAATCAGAGCAGGAGCTTCACACTCTTGCTACGCCAGTCATTCTGTGACCTCAGGGGTCACATACAAGGTCAGGGTTTCTGATCCACGACGAATCCGCACTGCCAGCTGCGATTGGGTTCGAACAGCCTCGTAGACGTCTTCCGCATTTTGTACCCTTTTCTCTCCAATGGCCAAGATCACATCACCCGGCCGAAGACTAGCCCTGTGGAGGACAGGACAGGGCGAGGAGGGAGTAGACAGCTGAGTTCAAGGATACATGGGCCCCACTCCACCCCACCTCAGAGAGCAGGCTTCCATCACCTGTGTGCAGGAGAGCCCAGGATAACTTTATGGATGAGGACACCGTGCTGAACGTCAGGGAAGCTTGGCTCTCGCAGCTGTAGTTCAGCGAGGATGCTGAAAGGGTACAGACCACACGGTTAGCTACACCCAGGCCCTCTCTCCTCCTGGCTTTAGTGCTTAGAAGTGGGATAGACATGAAAGGTAGCTAACTCCTATCGACACACACTGTTAAATCAAACTGCATGTCTGCCACCCTACTCGAAGGAAGTGGCAGAACTTCAGCTAAGCCTAAAAGGATGGATCCTATTAACCGTACGAAGTAAGGTATCAGGAAACAGAAGTGAGCCGGTGGCGGTGGTGGCCCACGCCTTTAATCCCAGCACTCAGGAAGCAGAGGCAGGCAGATCTATATGAGTTCAAGACCAGCCTGGTCTACAGAGCAAGTTTCAGGACCGCTAAGGCTACACAGCGAAACCCTATCTGGGGGGAGGGAGGGAGGGACACAGGAGTGGAAAATCAAAGTAATCCTGAAGAAGCAACAAGCCAAGTCCAGAAGGCGATTAGACATGGGCGGGAATGGAAATGACCTTTAATGCCGAGCCAATGAAGTCTCTAAATCACGGCAGTGACAGGACGCACTCAATCTAGTAAAAAGATGCAAGACGCAAGGGGACGACAAAGTTGTTCCGCTCTTGTGACAGCAGACAACAGCTCACCTCAGCAAAGGACACACAGGAAAGCAAAACCCCTAACAGAGTGCAGCTGTGAAGCACACACATGCGTGGTCCTCACATCATCAGCCCTAATGTACCTGGGAGTCAGGGTTAGCATCATCACTCCGATGTAGCGGCGCTGGGACCCACCGATTCCAAACCAGGAGTCTGTAAAGAGAGGACACTTGAGCCCGCCCAGCCACACCCTTCCTTCCCTCAGCCCCTACCGGTAAAGTCCTCTCCAGCAAGGCCCCTCCCCTACGCCCCATGGTTCACTTCACAGGAACCCTTTCCCAGTAAAAAAAGGCTCACTTTTCTTCTCCCCGCGATGCAGAAACTCCCTAAGGCGGTCAGAAGGGATGGCAAAGGAGATTCCAGCTGTCACCTTCATGGTGTTCACTCCAATCACCTCCCCATCCTGCAGGGACACAGCCCTCTGTCCCCTAGCCCACACAGATGGCAGAGTAGCAAAGATTGGGGGGCAGGGGTCTGATAGGATACGAGGAGACAAACAAGAAACTACAGAAACTTAACTAAAAATTCTTGAATGTTAGAAAAGCCCACCCTTCTCCCCACACTGACCTGGGGGTATGGATTCTTACAAGAACATTGGCACTCACCAGGTTAACTAGGGGACCTCCAGAATTTCCAAACTGTGGGATAAAACGGAAACACCATCAAAGAGATCTGGAATTCTACGCCTCTGGGAATTCTCTCACTGTTGGCATAACCAGGGTATAGGGATATTCTCCAGATTCTGTTCCCAGCCCATTAACTAGAGTGGCTACGTTTTGCAGCCCAACGCCTAATACAGGCCTAGCCACCCCATGTGAGTTGGTGCACACACGCGCGCGCACGCACACACACACACACACACACACACACACACACACACACACACACCAGACAGACAGCCGTTCTGCCCAGCTCCCACCCAGCTCCAAGAGTCTCTCCTATCAGGACGCACGTCAATGGCTGCATCGGTCTGAATGTACTCCACGTTGGTCTGAGGGAGTCCCAGGTCCCTGGCAGGACGCTGAGCAGAGCTGACAATGCCAGATGTGATGGTGTTCTGCAGTGCGAAGGGACTCCCCATGGCAACAACAAACTCCCCTTGCCGGACGTCAGCAGAGCGGCCGAGGGGCAGGGTGGGAAGGGGCTCCTTCGGGGAAACGAGGACGCCAAACCCGGTCATTTCAAGACAGGGAGCAAAACCACACAGCTGCCGTCAGATCCGGCCCACTCCGTCCCCACCTTGGTCTGAATCCTCAGCGTGGCAATGTCTGCCACAGGGTCCACGGCTGTGACCATGGCCTCGTAAGTGTCTCCGCTAGGCAGCCTCACTCGCACCCGGCGCCGATCGGCCACCACGTGGGCGTTGGTAACGATGAGCCCATCGGAAGCCACCACGAATCCTGAGCCGTTTGAGATGGGGACTTCGCGGCCCGAGAAGGGGTGCCTGGGGCGGGGCGGGGCGGGGCGAGCACGGTCACACAGCCCGCAGCTCCCACCCGGCCCTGCCGCCCGGCCTTGGGGCAGCGGGCGCCAACAGCCGCCGGCCAGCCGCAGCGTCACCTACCGGTCCAGGATTTCGATGTAGACCACAGCCGGGGCTGTCTTCTCCACCACGTCCGCGATGAAGTTGTACTGGCTGCGGGGAGAGCCGGGCGGCGGCGCGGGCACGGCGGCCAGCACGGCGGGGGGCGCGCGCCCCCAGCGCCACACCAGCAGCCAGCCCGCCGCGCCCGCGCCCGCCGCCGCCGCCAGCGCCAGCCAGCCCCGCCGGCCGCTGCCCGCGCCCCAGCTGCTGCAGGCGTCCCGGGCGCCGGGGCCCGCAGCCCGCACAGCCGGCCGTGCGCGCGGACCTGGGGCCGCAGACGCCGCTCGCGCCCCGCGCGGGGCCCCCACGGGCACCCGGGCGCGGCGGTCGGGAGCCCCTGACGTCGGCGGAGCCCGGGGGTCAGCGGTCAGCAGGGGACCCTTCCCCCAAGCGACGCCCCCCAAAGCCCGCCACGCCCGAAGGCCGCCGCCTGCACCCCGCCCCGCCGTCAGCGCAGCCATCAGCTCCGCCTCGGCGCAGTCCCAGCCCGCCCTACTCGGAGGCGGCGCCTTGGAAGCCCAGCAAGCCGGACGGGGAGGAGCGAGGCACGCCGGGACCTGTGCGGTGCATGCCGGGAGTTGTAGTTCCTTCGGGACGCCCTCTCCCGGGCCTACACGGACGCGCGAAAACACTCACCCGCCCCGCCCCGCCCCGGGGCCGCAGGGCACTCTGGGAGCGGTAGCCCTTCCGGGGCGCCTGGCGGGGACCTCGGGTTCGGGCGGCCCGGGGCGGACGCCGGAGGCCCCGCCTTCCCAGCAGCCCCCGCGGCCCGCGAAGATGGCGGCGACTCGGGCGCTGCTGGGCTGAGGCGGCTGCGATGGAGCCTCCGGCAGCTCCGGGCCCGGAGCGGCTGTTCGACTCGCAGCGGTGAGCGCGGGCGGGCCCCGGGCGGGCGGGGCGGGCGGGCCCCGGGCGGGTGGCGGGGCGGGCGGGCCCCGGGCGGGCGGGCCCCGGGCGGGCGGGCTCCGGGCGGGGCGGGCGGCGGGGCGGGCTCCGGGCGGGCGGGGCGGGCGGGCTCCGGGCGGGGCGGGCGGGTGGCGGGGCGGGCGGGCTCCGGGCGGGCAGGCTCCGGGCGGGGCGGGCGGCGGGGCGGGCTCCGGGCGGGCGGGGCGGGCGGGCCCCGGGAGGGCGGGCCCCGGGCGGGCGGGGCGGGCGGGCCCCGGGCGGGTGGCGGGGCGGGCGGGCCCCGGGCGGGCGGGCCCCGGGCGGGCGGGCTCCGGGCGGGCGGGGCGGTCCCCGGGCGGGCGGGGCGGGCGGGCCCCGGGCGGGGCGGGGCGGGTGGCGGGGCGGGCGGGCTCCGGGCGGGCGGGTCCCGGGCGGGCGGGCGGGCCCCGGGCGCCTGACCGTGCCGCCTGTCCGCCGCAGGCTCCCGAGTGACGGCTTCCTGCTGCTCGCGCTGCTGCTCTACGCCCCGGTCGGCCTGTGCCTCCTGCTCGTGCGCCTCTTCCTGGGGCTGCACGTCTTCCTGGTCAGCTGCGCGCTGCCCGACAGCGGCCTCCGCAGGTGCGGGCGCGGGTGTGAGCGTGTGTGCGTGTGTCAGTGTGAGTGCGTGAGTGTGAGTGAGTGCGCGCCTGCGTGAGTGCGCGCGTGTGAGAGTACTGAGTGTGAGACGTGAGTGTGCACGTGTGAGTGTGCATGCGTGAGTGTGCACGTGACTGGGTCTGAGTGTGAGAACGTGAGTGCACGTGTCTGTGAGCGCATGAGTGTGAGTGCGTAGGTGTGCGTGTGAGTGCGTGTGTGCACGTGTGTGCGCACGTCTGTGTGTGTACATGTGTGTGCGTCTGTGTGTCCGCAGGTTCGTGGTGCGCACCATGTGTGCGGTGCTGGGGCTCGTGGCCCGGCAGCAAGACCCCGGGCTGCGGGACCGCCGCGTCAGGGTGCTCATCGCCAACCACGTCACACCCTTTGACCACAACGTGGTCAGCCTGCTCACCGCCTGCAGCACCGTGAGTCCGCCGGGTTCTCCCTGGGCAGCACCCACCGCCCGCGCCCGCCCCGTGTCTGTCACAGTGCCCTCCTTTCCCGTTTCTCACACGCACGCACGCACGCACACCTGCGTTCTCTTCTCGCAGCCTCTACTCCACAGTCTCCCCAGCTTTGTGTGCTGGTCCCGGGGCTTCATGGAGATGGACAGGCGCGTGGACCTGGTGCAGTCCCTCAAGAAATTCTGTGCTTCCACCCGGCTTCCGCCCACGCCGTTGCTGCTCTTCCCTGAGGAGGAGGCCACCAACGGCCGAGAGGGGCTCCTGCGCTTCAGGTGGGCGCGCGCGGGTCTGGGGCCCCGGGCTCGTGGGTTGTCTGTCCAGTGGCCCTGCCCTAGGTCCTTTCCTGCCCGTTCGCCGCCTTTATGGAGTTGGACAGTTTTCTTGCCTAAGTCAGGTTTGAGTTGTTGTTGCCTGCTCTACGCTGGACTCTGTGCGATCCTCCCCTCTCTTTCTCAGTTCGTGGCCCTTTGCTATCCAGGATGTGGTCCAGCCTCTCACGCTGCAAGTTCAGAGACCCCTGGTCTCCGTGGTGAGTGCATGGGGGACAGGGAGTCTCCGGGTTTGCAGGGGAAGTCCCCACCCCTGGCCCTGGCTTAGGCCTCGCTTCATGCCCTCCCTTCAGACGGTGTCAGATGCCTCTTGGGTCTCCGAACTGCTGTGGTCTCTCTTCGTCCCTTTCACGGTGTATCAAGTAAGGTACTAACTGTCGCAGTTTCCGTGGCTGGGAAGATGCTCCCTTCAAGGTCAAGGAAGTAGCGACCTCTGGATTTGCCAATGTCAGAGTTCCCCACAGAGGCAGCACCCGCCCCTCTCATGGCCACCCTCCCAGAGCACACCGGGAAGGGCTGACCTCAGCCTGGGCCTGTACCGGGACACTGGCTTCTTTTCTGCAGGTGGCTTCATCCCGTTCATCGGCAGCTGGGGGAGGACAGTGAGGACTTCGCCCTCCGTGTGCAACAGGTGGTAGTGAACGCGGGCGTGGTGGGAGGGAGGTCTGGAGTGGCTGTGCTCATACCTTCCAATTCCCCCTAGCTGGTGGCCAAGGAATTGGGTCAGATAGGGACACGGCTCACCCCGTCAGACAAAGCGGAACACGTGAAGCGGCAGAGGCACCCCAGGTCACGCCCCCAGTCAGGTGTGCGGTCTCTGCCTCCCTTACGCTCGCCAGCCTCTTTCTTAGTTCCCTGCTCACCTAATACTCCTTTCCTTTCTTTTTTAGCAGCCCAGTCTTTTCCTCCTCCTCCCAATCCTTCCTCCGATGTGCAGCTGGCAACTCTGGCTCAAAGAGTCAAGGAAGTCTTGCCCCATGTGCCACTCAATGTCATCCAGAGAGACCTGGGTATGGGAAAGGGTGGCTTCACAGCGTGACAAGGCGCAGACAGAGTGGGTGTGTGACAGACAGAGGGTGCACGGGGTGGACGCTCTACTCCTCTCTTCCCAGCCAGGACTGGGTGTGTAGACCTGACTATCACAAATCTGCTTGAGGGGGCTGTGGCTTTCATGCCTGAAGATGTCCCTGAAGGAGCTCAGTCCCTGCCCACGGCCTCTGCCCCAAAGGTGAGACACAGGGGTAGTCAAGGCCAAGGCTTGGGGTAGGTAGGGGCAGTCTCTGCTCGATGGGTGTGTATTGATGACTCCGCAAGCCCTCTGACTTTGTGACCATCTCAGTTCCCCAGCTCTGGCCCGGTGACCCCTCAGCCCACAGCCCTAACATTTGCCAAGTCTTCCTGGGCCCGGCAGGAGAGCCTGCAGGAGCGCAAGCAGGCTCTGTATGAATATGCAAGAAGGTGAGGGGTTAGAGAACAATGTAGGAAGGAACAACTTGGAGAAGGCCCGCCCGATGAAGCTACTGTGACAAAGCCTACACACTGCCTCTCCCCGTGTCCCACAGGAGATTCAGAGAGAGGCAGGCCCAGGAGGCTGACTGAGCCCAAAGGAACAGGATGGGACCCAGAGCCGCAGGACGGAGCCTGGGGCGGCCTCACCCAGCTCACGACAGGCCGGATGAGTGTGGGTGGTGAACAGGGAGGGATGGAGTTCCCCCAATGTCACATTAAAGGCAGGGTTTTCACTCGGTCTCTGTTGCCTCTCTGGGTTTCAAAAGCCCCTTGAGCAGGTTCCTTTTCCTCAGTTGAAGAGTATATGGGTGAGGATGATCAGAATAAAAGTGAAATTATCTCATGCTAAACTGAAGACAACTAGATCCCAGCTTGGCTGTGTTGGGAGGCTGTCACTGTAAAACTACAAGTCCCAGAATGCATTTCATGAGCTTGGTCCTGTCAGGTTCACACATGCTCAGTGTGGTGGCAGGAACCAACTTTCCATGGGTTTCTTTCTAGCTAAGTTAACTTAGGTGGAGCAAAAGGTTCCACCCCCAAAAGCCAGCTCCATGATTGGAGTTGGAGCTCCACCTCGGGGTGGGGCCAGAATTTACCTTTGTACTCCAGGTAGGTCTGGGTTGGAGGTGCCTGGCTGGGTGTGTCCAGAGCTGGCTGCCGTCCTGACGTGTCTCAGAGCTGCTGGCAGGTTTGAATCCAGGACCCTTATGGCCCTGCTGTCCCTCTCTCTTTAACAAAGTTCTTACTTTCCCCTCCCTGGGGCCTTCCCACAGGTCGCTAGGCTTCATGTAACTCCTGCTGCCCCTGTACTAGTCACGAGATCCTCACTACCCAACTATAAACAGGGCAGAAGTCCACTTGTGACGGCCCCTTAGAAACACCCAGCACTGTTTTCCGGGAAGGAAGGACCCCGAGGCGTCGCGCTCTGCGGGTTGAGGTTGGGGATGGAGCTGAGATGGGGTTGGTGTCAGTCTCCAGGTCTGAGGCCTTACTGGGTGCCCTGCTCTCCCTAGGTTCTATGGACAGCCACCATGGCCTCGGGGCTGGCAGAAGAGTCTGAACTCGCTGTGAACCCCTTTGATGGGCTCCTCTTCTCTTCCTGCTACTATGAGCTGCTCGAGCAGCGCAGAGCCTTGCCCATCTGGGCTGCTCGCTTCCTGTTCTTGGAGCATTTGGAGAGCAGCCCCACAGGAGTGGTGCTGGTGTCTGGGGAGCCTGGCTCTGGCAAGAGCACCCAGGTGGAGGGAGAGGGGATGGACGGAGGGCGGGCTTAAATGTGCCTTTTCCTGGGTAAAGAGAGCGAACAAATAAAGATGAGTTTCGCTCCCCCCAGGGGGTGGTAAAGGTTCAGGAATCTCAATTGGCTATAGTTCCTACAGCCACGTCTGCCTCAAGTCCAGCCCCCTGACCGATGGCCCTTTCCTCTCCCCACCCCAGATCCCTCAATGGTGTGCAGAGTTTGCACTGGCCAGGGGATTCCAGACAGGCCAGGTTACTGTCACTCAGCCCTACCCTCTAGCAGCCATGAGCCTGGCTTCCAGGGTGGCTGACGAGATGGACCTGACCCTGGGTCATGAGATTGGATACAGCATCCCTCAGGAAGACTGCACTGGGCCCAACACCATGCTCAGGTGGGCCATTCGAGGTCTCATCCCCTTTATTGAGTGGGAACAAGCCCAGCTGTCTCTCAGCTAACCTTCCCCGGAGTCATGCATAGCGCAAACCTCCCCATCACCACGAGGTGCAGGTGTGAAGCAACCGTCCTCAGCAAAGATGTGGGGTCACACTCAGTAGTCCACAGGCTTAGGAAGTCCATGACAACATCTTTTTCTGACCTTCGATATCAAAATCTAGACACCTGGATTTGGGTCTGGTCGGTGTCCACACTGAATCCCGCCCACTGCCATTGTCAACAGGGTCTGCTGGGACAGGCTGCTCCTGCAGGAAGTAGCCTCCACCCGAGGCCCTGGAGCCTGGAGTGTGCTGATACTGGACGAGGCCCAGGAGCGCTCAGTGGCCTCGGACTTACTGCAGGGGCTCCTCCGAGACACCAAACTGAGAAACCTTCCAGGGGATCCCAGAGTGGTTGTGGTTACCGACCCAGCCTTGGAACCCAAACTCCAAGCCTTCTGGGCTGATTCCCCTATTGTGCGTGTACCCAGAGAGCCTGGTGGGGCTCCGACTCTTGTCTACAGGGACACTGTCCCTACTGACCTAGTGGCCGCTGCCTGCCAAGCTGTGCTTGAGCTGTGTCTGCGGGAAGAGGCGCCAGGAGATGTGCTGGTGTACCTGCCCGGTGAGGAGGTAAACAGAATGAAAAGTGGATTATGGGAAGCCTGCCTGTCCCAGGACTGGGACCGCAAGTGTTAGAAATAGTGGCTGTGTCTACTCTGCGGGAGTCTTGGGGGGGGGGCGTGAATCAAGAACTTTGGAATAAAGTGATTTGCCACCCAGTTCTAAAATTCCTTATAATGCAGAGCTCTGTGCACAGTGCAATGGAACTGCAGCGTCCCCATCTTTAGAAGTGTGTGTGTTTACAAGTAAAGGGCCTTAGCTTTCATCCGTTTCTCAAAGATCTGTGCTCCCCCTCCCCCAAAAGAGGTAAGAACTTCCCTAATGGCCCACCCCTCTCCTCAGGAAATTTCCCTGTGCTGTGAATCCTTGTCCAGGGAGCTGGGGATGCTGGCTCTCCCAGGACCTCCACCGAGGGTACTGCCCCTTCACCCAGGCTGTGGTCAAGCCGTCCAAGCCGTGTATGAGGACACAGACACGAGTGTCCGGAAGATCGTGGTCACTCATTGGCTGGCAGATTTTTCCTTCTCCCTGCCTTCCATCCGGCACGTCATTGACTCAGGACTGGAACTCCGAGGTGTGAGTGAGGGGAATGGGGGGGGGGGGCGCAGCTTGAGATGGAAACGGGCCGCTCTGATCTGCCTTGGCCTTGTTGGTGTCTGGGTGACAGGTGTACAGTCCTAGGATCCGGGCGGAATCCCAGGTGCTGAGACCAATTAGCAAGTGTCAGGCAGAGGCCAGGCGACTTCGGGGAAGGGCAAGGGGGTCCCCACCAGGTAAGAGCCTTTGCCTCCGGCCAGAAAGGGGAATAGATGACCTCACACGAGCCCTGAGAAACTGACTGCCCCCCCCCCCCCCCCCCCGCCTTCCTCTCCTCAGGATCCTGCCTCCGCCTGTACTCGAAGTCCGTCCTAGAACTAGAGGCACCCCCGCTGCCCCACCCCAAAGTGCTAGAAGAGAATCTGAGCTCTCTGGTGTTGCTACTAATGAGGAGACAGATTGCGGAGCCAGGGGAGTGCCACTTCCTGGACCCGCCTGGTGAGCCCCCGCCCCGCCCGCCCGCCCCGCCCCGGGGACGGCCTCTGACTGCAGGCTCGGGCCTGATGTCCAAGCCCTGTGTCCCCACCAGCCCCAGAAGCACTGATGCAGGCCCTGGAAGACTTGGACTACTTGGCAGCGCTGGATGACAGTGGGGATCTGTCCGACCTGGGGATCGTCCTGTCGGAGTTCCCTCTGCCCCCGGAGCTGGCCAAAGCCCTGCTGGCCTCCTGCGAGTTTAACTGTGTGGACGAAATGCTCACCCTCGCCGCCATGCTCACGGGTATACGCCAGCTTTAATCTACCTTGGTCAGGAAGTCAGTCACTCCTCAGTAGGGCCTCACATACCTTAGAGAGCTTCCCAGCCCTGCACTAAGGTGAAGCCAGAATCGGAATCGCTGGTTTTAAAGCTGCTCCGGCCTTCCCACCCCTCAAGTGCACAGGGAGCCAGATGTCTGTCCGTCATCTCACAGCCTTCTTCGGCTAATGCTTCTTTCCTCTCGGGGTACAGCGTCTGGCCCTCGCTGTGACTGGACCTCCTCACCTGCCTCCTCTGCCCTCCTCCCTCGCAGCTATGCAGTCATAGCATCCCTGTCAAAATCTGCCCTGGGTCTGGTTCACCTGCTACGCTGAGCCAGCAAAACCACACCACCCCGCATGACAGCTCACTAGTGAGGTTCCCGGTACCTAACTGGAGGGACACTTTCCAGCATTTATTCACAACCGTTTGACAAAAGAATGCTCAACACTTCTACTTTGTAATATCATTGGGGGGAATCTGTTTTTCTACTTGTGTGTAGTGTTTATGTGTGTGTGTGCGCGTGCGTGCGTGCGTGCGCATGAAAGTACATGCCCCCTGAGGCCAGGGGTGCCACACTCTACCTTATTCCCTGGGGATTGGGTCTCGTACTGACTACAGAGCTAGGCTGGCATCCGTCAGTCAAGCTCAGCTTCCTCCTGTCTCCACGCCCTACAGTTTAAGGTAACAGGTGTGTCTGGCTTCATCAGGTGGCAGTTTCACGGGTACCTGGGATGTGAGCTTAGGTCCTCGTGCTTGTGTAACAAGTGCTCTTAACCACTGAGCCACCTCCGAGGACATCCACCCCCTTCTCTCCGAGACATGACCTTGCTATGCAGCCCAAGCTGGCCTCGAACTTCCTATCTTTGGCTCAGTCTCCTGGATGCTGGGATCAGCGGTGTCGTCACCATGCCCAGCATCCAGTAGTTTCCATCCCACCTCTTCCTGTCCTCATCTCTCCCTGGGGATTGGTTCTCATCCTCTGCTTTTCCCCTCGGGGTTCTGGCCTTTGACTTGTGTGTCTTCTCATTCCCAGGACTCTGAGCAAGCCCATCCACACCCAGTGCACTTGCAATTCCCAAACTGCACTCTGCATCTCTTTGCCAGCGCCGTCTAAACAAGCAAACACGGTCTCACTGTGTAGAGCAGGCTGGCATCTAACTCTCAGAAATCTGCCCGCCTCTGCCTCCCACGTCCTAGGACAAAAGGGCTATGCCACCGTTCCTGCCCCCCCCACCATTCCTTTACGTCTTAGGAAGATGGAGAGGCAAGGGAGGAAGGTGGTGGCACACACCTTTAATCCCAGCACTTGGGGGACAGAGGCAGGCTGGTCTCTGTGAGTTCAAGGACAGCCTGGTCTACAGAGGGAGTTCCAGGACAGGCTCCAAAGCCACACAGAGAAACCCTGTCTCCAAAAACCAAAGTAAAAAAACAGTGAGAAGGGAGAGGAAGAAAGGATTACAGGGAGGAATAGAGAGGGAGGTCCCTGAAGAATGATCTCCTCTCAAGACCTCATTTCTGTGTATATGCCTAAGGTCTGTCTACACCACAGCATGTAGTACCTTCAGGTGCCACAAGAGGGCGTCTGGTCCCTCCCCCAACTGCGGGCCACCATGTGGGTGCTGGGAGCCAAACCTAGGTCCTCCGCTAGAGTAGCCAGTGCTCTTAACTGCTAAGCCATCTCTCCTGCCCTGTGCCCCCCCCTTTTAAAAAGTGTCATGTATTATGTGGGGTGGCAGGTATGTGCCATAGCTCACGGGTGATCAGGGGACAAGATTGTAGAATGGATTCGGCCCTTCTACCTACATGTGGGTTCTGGGGATTGAACCCAGGAGGCCAGAGCTTGCAGGGTGTGTGTGTGTGTGGTGTAGTTTTTAAAGGATTTTTACTTATGCATACAATGTTCTGTATGCATGTATGCCTGCACACCAGAAGAGGGCATCAGATCTCATTACAGATGGTTGTGAGCCACCGTGTAATTGCTGGAAACTGAACTCTGGACCTCCGGAAGGACAGTCAGTGCTATTAACCTCTGAGCCATCTCTCCAGCCCCAATTTTATTTTATTTTATTTTTGTTTAAGACAGGGTTTTACTCTGGAGCCCAGGCTGGCCTGAAACCCACTGTATAACCCAAGATAGTTTCAAATTTACACCAATCCTGCCGCAGCGTCCCGGGGGGTAGGATTACAGGCATGTGCCACAAATTCCTGGCTTTCCTAATAACTCTTCCTACTAGGCTAGTCCCTAGTGCCTCAGCTCAGAACTGAAATCAAGCAGCCCACTCACCCACCCCTCTGACCACAACACCTCCTTTCTGTTGTTTCCAACAATCCCTTCACTGTCCTGGCCCACCCTGTGCTAATCTATCTCTAGAGTTCCCCCCCCCCCTTTTAGCTCCTACATTTGGTTTGTCAGAGCCATGTACTCTCTGCATAACCCCAGCCAAGGCCACTCTCCCACCCAAACCAGAGGGCTTCTAGTGCTCCAAATAAGCCATGCCATTAACCTTTGTGCCATGCTGTTCCCACGGTCTCTACTGGTCCCAACATTCCTTCCCCACTCACTTCTGACACTGACCCAAGGAGCTCATGCTCCCCCAGCCCCCACCTCACCCTCCTTTCCACCACCTAAGCCTGGGTCAACTCCTTCTCTTTGCTTCCGGAATGCCAGTCACACTTGTGTTCCTTACTTGTCCACTTTCGTGTTGGGCTGTCCTACCAGACTTGGGGGCGGAGGATACTCCGCATGCTCTCTGCAGAAGCCGCTTCTTCTGGAGACTTCCAGCTGGCCGTTGGTAGAATCCACAGAAGCAGAGCCGTGGCTGTGGAGGGCTGGCTGCATTTGTCCCCAAAGTGCAACGAAATGCAGAGCACCCACAACCTATTGTCTTTCCAATTGAGCTCCCAGGGGTTACTCCTACTTTTTCAAGTATTCTGCCTGTGCTACCGTCCTTCCTGAATCCTCGCAAACCACCTTCCTGTCTCCTGCCTGCAGCAGCTCCCGGGTTTACCCGTCCTCCACTGAGTGCACAAGAAGCTGCCTTGCGTAGGGCCCTGGAACACGCAGACGGCGACCACAGCTCTCTGATCCAGATTTATGAAGCCTTCGTACAAAGTGAGTGGCTCACTCTGCACCCTCGGGGACTCCCAGGAAATAATACCCAATCAGCCAGCAGACCTCTGTGTGCAGGAAGAGGCGGGCCTCCGGCCCGGGGCATCCTTTGTGCCAGCCTCAAGGGCTTAATTACAGCTGTGTCCTTTCTTTCCCTAAGTGGAGCGGATGAGGTTTGGTGTCAGGCCCGGGGTCTAAACTGGGCAGCGTTGTGCCAGGCCCGTAAACTCCGAGCAGAACTCGTGGAACTCATGCAACAGATTGAACTTCCCTTGTCCCAGCCAGCCTTCGGCTCTGAGCAGAACCGCAGAGACCTTCAGAAAGCTCTGCTGTCAGGGCTCTTCCTCAAGGTTGGAGAGGGGAGGGGTCCCAGCAGGGTAGAATGCGGAGGCCCTCTGTCTGGTGTGGAGGTGCACAGCTCTAATCCCAGCACTCCTGAGGCCAGGCCAGCCTGCTACATAGTGAGACTCTGTCTCCAAAAGGGGTATGGGGTGAGGGGCAGGGCTACAGGGTCGGCTTAGCAGTTAAGGGCACTTATTACTCTCTCAAAGGTCTCAGGGGACCCAGGTTCAGATCCTAGCACCCACATGGGGGCTTACAATCATCCCCAGTTCCAGAGAATTTGACATTTTGTTGACCTTCAAGGGTAGGCATATATACATGCAGGCAAAACACGCATACACATAAAAACAAATAGTTATTATTTTAATTTTAGGGAAGGACGAATCAAAAGGGGGGGTTGGGGAAAGCAGAGTAGGTAAAGTGCCTTGCTTCAATCTCAGGGACAGTGGTTGATCCCAGACCTGGGGACTCACGTGTCGTTCTGGCACTGGGGAGGCAGAGACACGCGGGCCCCTGGGGCTGCTGGCAGCCACCCCAGCCTATTGGCGCATTCCGGGTTCTGCACCCCCGAAAGGATGGAAGGCACCTAAGATGGACACACGTGCATTTCCATGAACACACACAAATACACACGAGGGGTTGGAGGATAAGGGGTCATGGGAAAATGCCAGGAGCAGACCGCAACTGGAGACTCACTTTTAATCTGTAATGCTCTATGATGCTCTTAATCCTGCCATGGTCCCTTACTTTTTTTCTTTTTTTTTTTTTTTTTTTTTTGTGGGGGAGCAGGGTGTTGGGGATTTTCTGTTTGTGTTGTTTTGTTTTGAGACAGTTTTTTTTTTTTTTTTCCTATGTAGCCCTGGCTGTCCTAGAACTCACTGTGTAGACCAGGCTGGCCTCAAACACCTGCTCCTTCTGCCTCTGCCTCCCTAAAGCCGGGATTACAGGTGTGGGCCGCCACACCCAGTACTGGCCTCCTTTTCTTTTCTTTCCTCCCCTCCCCCCACTCGTGCCCTTTGACTTATTCCATCCATGCATTTGCGTTTCAATGAGGTTGCCCATGACGTAGACGGCACTGGGAACTACCTGCTTCTCACTCATAAACACGTGGCCCAGCTGTCTCCGTGCTGCAGCTACCGACACTGAAGGGCTCCAGCTCAGCCACCTGCCTGGGTGCTGTACCACAGCTTCTCCGTATCCAAAGACAATTGCCTGTGCATCGTCTCTGAGATTCAACCCGAGATGTGAGTCTCCTGACCCTCGATGCCTAACACACTCTCTCTCCCAGGGACAGGGACCAAACCTAAGGCTGGGGGTGGGGGGGACGACTTAAGAAGAGCGGTTTGTGAAGGGCGCAGAGGGGAGAGGCAAATAATCCCATTCTGACTTTCTCTAACAGGCTGGTGGAGCTAGCCCCTCCGTACTTCCTGAGTAACTTGCCCCCCAGTGAGAGCAGAGACTTCCTGAACCAGCTCAGAGAAAGACCAGAAAGGCCGGAGGCAGCGGAGGCAGAGCCATCAGTGGAGGCAGAGCCATCAGCGGAGACCGAATCTTCCCTTCCCCGGGAGTATGGGGATGGCTGTGTTCTGCAGTGAGCTGCCTGAGGGATGGAGCCAACCTCACCACATACTACCAAGGCAGTCAGCCAGTCTTAGAAACTCAAAGTGTAGGGTCAAATATATTCCCGGAACGCAAAAGCCAAGAAACGGTGGGAGGGAAGGAGCCACGGAGCCACGGTCTGGAAGGGTCTGGAAGGGTCTGGAAGGGTCTGGAAGGGTCGCAGAGGAGAAAATAGGGCCCATGCCACCGTGTGGCCCCACACAGCCTTGCACTCCTAGGGACTATAAAAGAGTTTCCCATGATGCTAAGTGTGATTTGGGTTCTTCGGTGCCGTATGTATAGTATGTGTAACATACATGAGTCAGAGATGACACCTTTAGAGATGAGGCTGGCCTCTTCCCCCTCCCACCTCAGGCCATGTCACTAGCAAGGAACATAGTCCTCTGGCTACCATTGGGGGGGGGGGTCTCTGTCCTTGTCACAGTGCTCCAGCCTCTGCCGGAAACATGCTGTCGACACTGGAATGAGACAAAATACCTCCTTTAAACCAGAAAGCTTTGCAGCCATCCTCCGGCTCAACTAGCCTCTGACTCACCTACATACAGCCTGGTCTTTCTGATTTTTCACTGCATTTAGTGTGCATGCGTGCGTGCATGTGTGGGCACACACGTGTGTATGCACAAGCATGCCGTAACACACATGCCTTGGGCAGAGGACAATTTGTAGAAATGGGTTCTCTTCTTCCACCAAGTTGGTCCTGGGGCTCAAACAGATTGTCAGGGTTAGGTGGGAATGCCTTAACCTGCTAAGCCATCTCCCAGAGTCTTTCTAACTAAAAGGTGTCATGTTCTGTGTCTTTCTGTCTGCTGGGTATTCCTTCCCTCCATCCTTAGCCTATTACTTTCTGAATCCACCACCTCCTGCACATTTTAAATGTGTGTCGTAGAATATGGTGGAAAGGAAGGCTGAGTTCTCTCTCCTGGAGACCTTGGCCTCACCATTCCATCTATGTCCACCCCTGTTGCCTGCGAGCTCCCCAAAGGCAGGAATCTGGGATTTTTTCCTCTCTAGATCTAGCCCACAGGTCCCAGTCTCCTGCTCCCCTGGTGCACAGCACCACTGACTGCCTGGCCTCCACTGCACCCCAGTCTCGGATTCCTCTTAGGCATGCCAGTCCCACTGTGAGTCGTGCTCGCTCTAACACAGGGCCCACGAGCTGGTTCTCTGCCCTGTATGGCACCGGGGCCAGATTCCCTTCCTAGATTTTACCCTCCGAGTATAGAAGTCTCTACCCTAGGTGCATTGCGACCCTAAGATGGGGTGGGGGTGCGCAGGTTACACACATGACAACGTGAGACGGAGCCAAGAAGGAACCCTTAGCGATTGTTTTACCATTGAGGGGATGAGGTGGACAATCCGGTCCCTGTCAGTCACCAACATTCACGAGTACCAACACCTCTTCCATTACCCCATGGATGCCCTTGATTTCTTCGCACCAGCTCCTCCTCAGTGGCCCCTTCCCAGTGGGACCTGAGCTCCGAGCCCGTTCTGGGCAGAATCGCCATTCGCCACGTCCTGCAGGTTGTCCTGGCGACCCAGGCTCCAGCGGGTCCGAAAATGCCGTAGACGGGCAGAGTCTAAGTACGGGCCAGGGGCCGCTGGTGGCCGAGGAGCCTCGGAAGACCACCGCAGACCTCCGGCTCCGCACGCACGCACGCTCCTCTGGCGGCACCGCGCACGGCACGGTGGCGCTCCTCGGGTAGGGAGGGGTCGCTCACACCACCGAGGCGAGCCCGGACACCGAAGCCACCTTGTTGTCCTCGGCCCAGGGCTGCAGATTCTGCAGCGCGAAGAGCGAAGAGTTGTGCAGGCAGAGCGGGTCCGGGGGCAGCGGCGGCCGCAGCGGCCGGGGCAGCGCGTCCTGCTGCAGGTGCAGCAGCAGACGGCCGGCGCGGTGCCGCTCCGCCTCGCGCTCCTCCGCCGTCTGGCGCCTGGGCGGGCGGAGAGCCGGGGTCAGCGGTCGGCCCGGCCCTTCCCCGCCATTCGGCCCGCCCGCGCCCCGCGCCTCACCGCCACTTGGTGCGTCGATTCTGGAACCAGGTCTTGACCTGCGCGTCCGTCATGCGCAGGGCCTTGGCCAGCGCCGCCCTCTCTGCCGAGGCCAGGTACTTCTGGCGCAGGAAGCGGCGCTCCAACTCCAGCACCTGCGAGCGGGAAAAGGAGGTGCGCGGCTTCTTGCGCTTCGGGGGGGTCCGGTTTTGGTAGGGGTGGCCTATGCGACGTGTCCCAGAGAAGGGCGAGAGCGCAGCTACGAGGTGGAAGATCAGGGCAAAGTTTGGGGGTGGCCCGAGGTGACACTGGGAAGAGAGCCCCTAGTCCTTACCGGCCCCGCAGCCACCGAGGCCTCGTTCAAAAGGGGGCCTAGGGAGAATGGGGTCCCTCCCAAACTTCACCCTGCCCCAGCTCGCGGTGGGCACCGTAGGGCTGCAGAGGAAGGGCGCATGCACCCGACGACGGCAGCTCTCTCCTTACTACCTCTCCTCTGTGGGACCGAGAAATGTGGGGTCGCGGAGGGTCCACGGGGATGAGCAGAGGGGAGGGAGAAAGGGGTAATGGAGTTGGAGAAGAAAACCAAGAGGAGAAGAAACCGGGGTCTACGTCTACGCGGGTGGAAGGGCGCCGAGGGGTTGGCCAATCTCACCCGTGAGCCTGTCCTTGGCGAAGCGGCGGCCGCTGTCCATCCAGGGGAAGGTGAGTCCGGCTAGGCCCCCGGCGCCGCCCAAACCCGAGGGTCCCGGCACCGCGGGGGCCGCACCCGAGGGCGGCGGCACCGGCAGCGGGCGGTGCGCCGGGACGCGGATCACGCCGCCCGGGCCCACTCCCGAGCCTCTGGGCAACGGGGCCAACGAGCCGGCTGGAGCGTAGCCCGAGGCTCCGTGGAATCCACCCGAGAACGCAGCACTCTCCCCGTGGCTCTGGCCCGCCTGACCCTGGCCCAGGCCGCCCCCCGGGGGTTCGGGGCCGCTCAGGATCTGATCGATGCCGAAGCTGATGGGTTCGTGGTGCGGAAGGTGGTGCGGAGCCAACACCGCCGGCTCCATGGGTCCAAGCCGGAGAGGACCTGGAGGCCGGAGGCCGGGAAGGGTGTCTCTGACGGCTGCGGGAGCCCGGCGGCCGCGCGCTCCGGGCAGCGGCTTCAGGGGCCCGCGGGGCTGACCAGGGCCGGGAGACGGGGCCCCCGGGCCAGCAGCATCCCTGTGCACCGGGCGCAGCCGCGCGCGTGCCCGCCCCTCCCGGGCGCCCGCGCAGGGACTTGCATCCCGGAGGAGCGTGGCCGGCGGGGGTCCCGGGAGCGCAGGTGGACGCTAGGCTGCCCAGGCCACTGCCCGAGTCCGGAGTGGAGAGGGGTGGCCAGCTCAGGCAGGGGCAGTGACTGACAGATCGGCCTCGGGTGGGCAGAGGGGGCTGAGGGAGGGCAGGGGCGGGGCCCTGCTGTTAAAGCGAAAGGGATGGCTAGATGTGCCAGGCGCAGGCAGAGGAGGGCGCGGGTGTCAGGAAGGCGCGGCGCGCGGGAGGGGCCGCTGACTCAGCCTGGATGCTCGTGCGCCCGCATCCTCTCCGGCCTCCGCCTTCGGGCTGCCTCAACCGCGCGGGCTCCTCGGCAAGTGCTTCTGACCCCAGCCCCCACTCTTCGCCTCCCGATGGGTGACGCTGGCCAGCTCCTGGATTCGTTGTGGTCCCTACCCAAATGCCCTCTGAGACCAAATCTCGTTGTGGCTTCCTGGCTGTGTAAGAATCGGCTGGGGGACGGCGACCCGCGACCCGGATTCCTAGGAAGAGGCCAGGTGTGGGAAGCAGACGGTGGCAGGGCGCGTTCCGTTCGGTGGACTCGGGCAGGGAACGAGCGTCTGAGCTTGGGGTCGTGGCACCCCTGGCTTTTCCCCACCCTGGTCCTGACCGGCCAGGAATTGGTGCCCTGTTTCTTAGAATTTCGATTTTCTGAAATTGCTGTAAATCGGACCCGGGTCTCAAACGGACCGACCTGGGCCTCCGCCGCAGGGTTCCACCCCTCTACTTTGCATCTCGGAAAGCAACCCTTTCACACTCTCCTCCCCCCTCTAAGGCGAAAGGGCGACCTTGGGGACTCGCTGAGGCCGTGGGAGGCTCTCCGCTCCGCATCCTACAGACACTGCACCCCACCCAAGCCCCAGAAAACGCGCCTGGAGCGTGCCAGTCAAGGAGAGTGGGGGAAGGATGAAGCGGCTCGGTGACCTTGTGACCTCCGGGCGCGGACCCAGGAGCTGGGAGCGTGTGACCCCCGCGTCCCTCCCTCGGATGGGACCCCTGCCGGGCGGGCCCCTGAGCCGAAGACACGCCCCCGCCGCCACCCTGCCCGGTGCAGGCCGCCATAATCGGGTTAGCTGGGCCGGAATTACATTACCTTCCCCAGCCCGCCCCGGCCCTGGGGGGGGCCCTGGCGCCTCCGAGCCGGTGAGACTGGGCCCGGGGAGGGGGGCAGCGGGTGGGCACCGAGGACCTGTTCAGCTCGCCTTGGACACGTTCTGGCCAGAAGACCCCGCCCTGCTCTGCAGGCCTGGAGCCTCACCCCTGCCGGCCTCTGGGCTCTGCTCCACCCTGAGGCTTTCCCGCGTGAAGCGAAGCGCCCAGCAAGTATAGACCTCCCCGGGACTGCTGCTGTCGTTGTTGCTCCGGGATCCCCGGGGAAAGGCGCCCCTCCACTCTCCCGGCAGATGGGCTGGCAGCCTGGCGCCTGGGGCAGGGCGAATGGGCCTTTTCTCTCATGGGAACCAGGATATTTGGGCATCTGGACAGGAACATAAGAGGAGATAAAAGCAGGCCCTCCCTCCCAGTGTTCTCGGGAGCCTGCGGGGTGGGGGCGGGACGGGGCAGGAGGGCTTTAATACTGTGTGAGAGCCCTCTCCCACCTTGGACACCTCTCTCCTTTCCGGCTATTCCTTCCACCGCACTGGTCACAGGACGCGCGCGCGGGAAGGGGGGCGGTTTGGCAATGTAAGCTTCCACAGGACACTCCCTGTTCTGAGCTACAGGGGGAGGGTCCACCTAACCTGAAACTCCAAGCAAAGCACAGAGCACACCGCCCTGCCTGGGAGTCTGGGGGGGGGGGGCTGCAGGGGCGCTGGCTAGAAGCTGAGCATCATGACGGAAAGTGGCTGTGTCTGTCTCTCACCAGACTGAATAAAACCTTTTGAACACATGCAAGAAAGAGTCCGTGAATGAGAAACAGGAAGCTGGTGAAGGCCTAGCCTTTGC